TTTCTACCCTATTCCTGGTCAACTCTTATAGGAAACCAATCTTATTAGTTTCTTGTTTATCCTTTCTGTATACCTGTGTGCACAAATGAGCAGACACGTGTATTTTCAAATGTTCCCTCCTTTCTTACGTGAACGATAGCATACTACAGATGTTCTTTTGTGTTTTGGGGTTATTTTCTCTTGACAACACTACGGATGCTGTTTAAAGCAATGTGCTCAGATGACGACACCAAGAGTATGAATGTAAACAGAGAAGAAGAAATACCCAGTGACAGAGCCTTGCAGCTTCCCAACATTAAGAGGTCAGGAAGAAGAGGAGAAACCAGCACAGCAGCCTGTGAAGGAACGACCAATCAGGCAGAAACAAATCCTGAGAGCCTAGTAAAGAAAGTGGGTCAAGGAGGACAAAGCGATGGAGTGTATCAATGCCACTGATAAGTAGGATCGGAACTGAGACTTGACCATCACATTAACAGCTTGAGCATCACCAGTGACCTTGACAAGAGTAGTTCTGATATACTGATGGGAGCAAAAGTTAGATTGGAGCAAAATAAGGGAGAATAAGAAAAAATGATAGAGATAGCTAATATAGAAAACTCTTATAAGAAGTTTTGCTTCAAAGAGAAGCAAGTAAATGAAGCAGTAGTTAGCAAAGGCATTGGAGCCCAGGGAAGCTAGATTTGTTTAATGAATGGAGAAAATAACAATAGATTATATACTGATGAAATGATCCAATAAAGAAAAAGTGACTGATGTGGGAGAAAGAGGGGAGAATTGTTGGAGTGATAGCCTTGAGCATTGGGGACCACATGCGGTTTGGTGCACACATTGAGAAACTGGCTTTACTGTTGGTACTCATGCTTGTTACTATAGTTCACCTCTAGTAATTGGCAAGAAGGCAGAGCGTACAGGCAGGTGTGGTATGCGAGTCTGTAGAAGTCGTCTTATGACTGCCTCAAATTTTTGCAATGAAGTAGGAATCAAAATCATCAGCTAAGAGTGAGGATTGGAGCACAGAGGTGGGAGATTTGAAGACAGAAGTGGTATACAGTAGTCATCAACAAGTGTGATAGAACAATTGGACCATGGTATATTGGCATATGATAGATTTCTTGGCACCACAAGGTTGCACTTGAGGTCCAGGGTCATAATTAAAAGTAAGATCAGTCAGTGAGGTTCTGTGCTTTACTCCAGCACATTCAGCAGCACGAATACAGGTGTGGAGTTGGTGAAATTGAATTTAGTCAGGGTTAAGCTTTTGCCAAAGAGTAGCTGAAGCAAGAAGGTGCAAGAGAGTCAAGGTATCTGCAGGGAATGATTGCAATGATTGACCATTGAATTTAAGCTGAATAAGGAGGGAGCGAAGGCATCTAGTGCGTAAGGGAGAGTGAAAAGGTAGTTGGATCAATGGATCTTGGTGGAGTCAAAGAATCTTGAGTTAAGGTATTAGAGAGAATGATCTAGAAAGATAGAAGGTGGTAGTTAGAGAGTGGATCGCTTAGAGTGACTCTAAGGTTGTGGAGGAGTTGCAATTAGTAGAAGGACACCATTAGGCACAATCTTAGAAGTAAGTGGTTGAGGCAAGGTGGAGGACAAACTCATTGGAGGAGAGGACTTCAAGGAACTGGGAGGCCAAAATTCTGAAATAACCATCCATATAATGATTTTTTGAAGGAATGTCTACATGAGAGTGGCAAGAATTAATTAATATTGAAGCAGAATGGAAGAGAGTGACAATGAGCCAGGAGCTAAAACTGCAATATGACACCAGGGATCAGTTGATGACAACCATAAAGGGCAGTAGTAACTGATATAACCTGATAATATGAGATGTAAATCTGGAAAGTTTTAGAAAATACAGAGCAAGAATGCTCTGAAAGAGGCATGAGGAACAAGAGGAATACTCTTTCCAGACCCAGGGCTGCTGAAGAAAAAACAGCCATCACTAAGAGGAAATGCTACTGCCAGGAAAGAACCAGGTTTCCATTAAAGCTGGAAGACGAAGGGAGCAGCAAAAGAAGAGGTCGAGGCTATCAGGCATTTTGCTGAGAATTCCAGAGGGCACAGCAGAAAAGTTTCGGGAGTTGGATGGTGTGAGAGGGAGATAAAATCGGAAGCTGTTAACATACCATTTAAGCTGACCAAGAGACCCGTAATTTGGGATCTCACAGAGTTTTTAAAAATCAATGTTTTTACACCCAAAACTGAAACGCTATAAGAGGTGGTTCTAAAGAGCAGTTTTAGCAGGAGATCAGACTGTGGCCTCAAATCTTTGTCAAGAATCTCCCAAAAAAGTTCTTGGCCAGACAATGGGAGCACAGCCAGGAGCGGAAATCAGATCAAATATGTTGACTTCTCCCACTTAAACGTATTTCTTCAGTAACCTGTAGTCACCTTTAAGTTAAGGGGTGGAGAAATGCAGGTAGAGCACAACAGCCGAGAAATGAAAGGCCAGAATTTCCAGGGTTAAAACTATATCCAGACAAGATCTTTGGCTGTGGTTACTCACAAATGGAATGAACTAAATGCAAATTGACTAAAAGCCTTGCTATGCCTACTATGCTTTGGGGAGATTTGTATCTCCAGAGACCTCTCTAGCTTAGACTGGAAAGTCTGATTATTCAAATCCTAAAACAAATCCCTGTCTCCAGAACTGCACCAACAAGAAATAAGCTGCTAGAGGCACGTCCTGTCCAGTCCTCTCCAGATGTGCTCACGAAGGAAACCGACAAGAGAAGCTTTCAAGAAAGCAGGGGGTGGGATGCATACCATGTGCCAGGCACTCTTCTAAGTGTTTTAAGTATATTAATTAACTCATTTAATCCTCACATTTACCAAACAAGGAAACTGAAGCATGAAGAAGGTAGGTAATCTACCCAAGGTCACATAAGAGCCAAGATCAAACTAATACATTATGGCTCTAGACATACTGATTAACCACCAGGCTATACTTCCTCTCTAAAATGGACAAGAGAATTCCCCTGAGAGAGCAGAACTAGGGGCTGGCAGGTGAACTAACTAAGGAACTCACACTCCCAGCAAGGAGGGAATCTTTGCAGTTCATAGCCAACAGGATAGGATCATTGCAATGTTTCCCATTCTTTTCTTTTTCCAAAGGGAGTTTTTATTGGGGAAGGTGAAAATAATTTGCCTTTTGGTTTATAGGTTATCAGGCCATGGGCTGGGTCATATCTGGACCTGATGGCAAGGACTGTGCATCACCCAAAAACCCTGGCCTTTGAACTGGACGCAGTAACTAAAGGGACTTTGGAATCATTTCCCATAAGAAGATAATAGGTGATTTCTAAACATGAAAGAAAGATTTGCATAGATATTTGAGTAGCCAAAAGGGCAGATGTGTGGCAAAGACTTCTATTTGGCCCCAAAATTTGTCCTCTCGTTATATCTCAAAGTATAAGAATCCTAATATTTACCTGAGTTCACGGTCCACTGGAATAAAACCACTATTTCTCAGGTTTCATTGCAGAAGGTGAACTAAAGAGACGTGTGCAACTTCAAGATGGTACTCTCCTCTTCCCCTTTTCTCATGATCAATAGAGGCCAGAAGTTTGGCTGCCCACTGATCTATGTTTTGGAGTAGATGATGAAACTAGAAGTTCCAATTTAAAGTTAAGAGATAAGTTCTAGGAAGCTTATAAGTTAGATGTTTAAAAATATAGATAGGGGCCAGCCTGGTGGCTAGCAGTTAAGTTCGCATTCTCTGCTTCAGCAGCCTTAGGTTGGCCGGTTCAGATCCCAGGCGCAGACATACAGCCATACTGTGGTAGGCATCCCACATATAAAATAGAGGCAGATGGACACAGATGTTAGCTTAGGGCCAATCTTCCTCAAGAAAAAGAGGAGGATTGGCGGCAGATGTTAGCTCAGGGCTAACCTTCCTCAGAAAAATATAGAGAGATAAATTACAAACTGCTAGGTACATTGTCCTTGAATAAAGCACATGCAGAAAATGGGACAGAAAAAAATCACAAAGATTCATTAGAAATATTTATTATCCATATAGAAGCTAGTGGGAAAAGCTACAATTCTCTCTCTTTTCTATTCTCTTAAGAATTACCAATTAAATATATAATCCTCAACTTTTTAGGACATGAAGGTACGGTTTTTACACTAAATAGAAGAAACCTAAGATAATCCATTGTCCAGAATGAAATGTCAACCCATCTCTGTTCCATCGCACCCTAAGGCAAACATGGAACCCTTTGATCCAAGTGCCCTATCAAAGCACCCTGGGCCAGGGGTCATATCCACTATCCATAGTGACATCCAACTGCAGACATTTTAGCCAATGCTTTGAAATCAACAGATTTCTATTAAATGCACACTCATACACACACACACACACCCATCTTAGCTTCTCTTAAATATTGGAACATTGAGTTTGTGTGGTAGATTATTGCAATAATATCCTCCAATTTGTTTATGCCATCCTGTATCCACTTGGATAACTCCCTATCACTCTAACTTTGGGCTTGGTCATTTGACTTGCTTTGGCCAATGGAACAATAGTAAATATGCTTCCAGCCTAGGTAGATTTCAGTGTGCAAAATGTGGGAATTGGTATTTCTGGAGGAGACCTAGGAGAAGTGTGCAAGTAACAGAAAAATACTGTTTTGCCTCCCCCTCAACCACTTCTTATGGAGGGAATAGGCGGAGGTATTTTTTCAGAAGCAACTAAGATTTTACCAAGCAGGGAATATAATTGGAAGACTCAACTTCCCTCTCCTTCTGCCAGCTCCCCTCGAGGATTGTGGAAAACTTCTCTAGAAGAGATTCTGGCTTTGACCAACAGTGACGTAAGCGGTTCTTCACGGCAGAGAGGGAAACATAATCCACACTGAAAAACACATCACTGTGAGCTAGACACAAACTCCCTCTTTCCAAAAATAGCAGAAAGGAAAGTGACCTTGAAAGGGAGAAGCTCACAATTGGGTTGCACAGGTTATCTGAAGAAAAGAACTTCAGAGAACTCAGATGGATTCTTGTGTTTTCAGTTTATTCAACAGAAAAGTGATTAACTCGCTGTGGCTTTGGGGCATGCTTTGCCCCACGAATGGTTTATGAATGGCTGGGCACAGGCAGCTTCTGTCAGGTGACCTAGAAGAAAAGACAAGGACTTTCCCCAGCTTCTCCCACCAACAGAGCTTAGGCTTCTTGATCCACAGTAGAGTTTTTAGATAGAAGGATTGTTGGAAGGGCCATTAAGTTGACAAAGGAATGGTTCCCATCAATGGGAACAAAGGGTTGTCAAAAGAAAGAGGAGTGCATCCTGGGAATTAGATGATAGGGCCAGAGGACAGCACCCTGTTTTCAGCCTTCCGTCTGAAGACCAAAGTAACCCATCAGGGGGTCAGTGCTCACCTCAGAAGTCAAATTCTCTCCTCTTAGAGTCCTAGTCTGCCCATTGGGGTGACTGTCATCTTTCCAGAGGGGATAGTCATCTTTTCAGTGGCTACAGTCTTCCTTCTAAGGGGTATGATCTTCTCTCCAGGGGTCTCAGTTTGAAGATGCATAGGAGTGATAGTCATCTTTGCAGGGGTCACAGACTGATGACCCACAGGGGTCAAAGTCATTCCTCCAGGGTTCACAGTCTAAAGATATATATGAGTCATAGTTATCCCTCCAGGAGTCACAGACTGATGGCCCACAGGGGTCATGGTCTTCTAGAGCTACAGTGCTCTTTCCAAAGGACATAGTTTCCCTTACAGGGGTCACAGTCCCACCTCTGGGGATTGTGGTCATATTTTCAGACTTTCTATGGGTCTCAGTGGCCATAGCCTCTTCCCTTGGGGACAAAATCCCCAAATCAGTGGTCAATGCCTTGGTCACAGTCAGCCTTTCAGAGTCGGTTCCTGAAGAATTCATAGCAGATGAGAGCCAAAATTTTGGTGAAGGAGTTGAGCTGAACTCTAGAGAAAATAGCCGGAAAAGGATGAGATTCATACTTCTTCCTTCCCATCCTATTAATTATAGCAGGACTAGAACCACTCCAGGGCTGACATACCTGCTCCTCAAATCTGGATTTGGAGGATTTCATAATTCACCCACTTGAGGACAGAGATAAAATCCCATCACATAGAAGCCCTGGTCCCGCACCTCATCACGTTAACATGATCCCAGGCACCCATGGGCACTCAGTGGATTTCCTGTATTTCCAGTGAATGACCCTAAGGAAGAGGCTGCCAGTTCTCACTTTTCCTCTCTGACTGCACCTTCAGCAAGACATTTTCCCCAAGGCCTAATTCCTTCCTTGTTGAATCCTCAAGGAGAGACTTTCCATAGGAGGCACCAGGAACAATGTTGAGGACAAGGAGGCTGCTCTAGACAGCATCTTGTAAAGCACTGGGTTGGAGTCCTATCTCTGCCCCTGACTAGCTATGTTGTCTTTCTGAGCCCCAGTCTCTTTATCCTTAAAATGAGGATTATAGACCATCTCCAAGGATGTTTTAGCTCTAGCAAACCAGGTTCCGTCTCTTAACTGCCAGGTCAGTCTCCAGTATCAAAGAGATACCAAAAGAAACCTAATTTCCTTTTCTAGCCCTTGTCCCTTGAAAGCAGGAGAAAGAAATGGAAATAAGCTAACATACATTGAGTGTTAACTATGTACCAGCAGTTTTCATTCCATGTATTTCATTTGGTTCTTATAATAATGTCATGAGTATAAAGATTATTCCCATTTTTACAGATAGGAAAAACGAAGCTCAGAGAGGTCAGATGGAGCACAAACCCAAACCAGGATTAGAAAACAGACTGCCTGACATCAAAGCTTCTTCTCTTCCCTCGATGTCAGCTTGCCTCACCAAAGCCTTTAGATCTAACAGAAGGGACGCACCCAGTGCCTGCATATGCAACTCCCAACCCCAGCTTCCAGGGCATAGCTACTTACCAGCCTGTACCAGGAGATGATTCAACACATAGACAAGGCGGAAAGGGCCCACACCATAGAAAGTGCCCCTGACATCATCCAGGTCCAGTGTCCACACCATGGCACCCCCAAAATGTTCTCTCTTTATGAACAATGCCTGCAAAAGTCGTAGTCAGTCAGCCTGCTGTACAGGCCATCCTCCAGACTGGGGACAACGGCAAAAAAACAGAAGATGGACTCTCAGGAGGCAATATAACAGGGTGGTTAGGAGTACAGCCTATATTCGAATCTAGCCTCTACCACTCATTAGCCATGGGATCTTGAAAAAGTTGCAGACAACCTTATGTGTCTTATGTGTCTTAGTTGCCTCACTTGTAAAAAAGGGATAATAACATTTCCAACATTTTTTGGATCAAAAGAATTCTACATGCACATGCTACAACATGGATGGAACCTGAAGACATTATGCTGACTGAAATAAACCAGTCGCAAATACTGCAAGGACAAATACTGCATGATTCCACTCCCATGAGATACTTAGATGTCAAATTCATAGAGATGGAAAGCAGAATGGTGACCACCAGGGGCTGGGGGAGGGAGGAACGGGGAGTTGTTTAGTGGGTGTGCAGTCTCAGTTTGGGAAGATGAAAAAGCTCTGGAGATGGATGGTGCTGATGGTTAGACAACAATGTGAATGTAATTAATGTTACTGAATTGTTTAGCCACAATTTGAAAAGTGAATTTTTTTAAAAAAAAGAATTCCTATATGTAAAATATTTGGATCAATACCTTGCACACAGTAAATGATCATAAACATTAAACACTGTCCCTCTGGGTTCCCCAGCCTGCTAATCACCATTATCATCATACTAAGCCATAGATGTTCCTTTACTATTTAAAAATCACTTCCAAGACCTCATCTCATAGTGATGCTATAAAGGAGAGAGAGAGCAGATAATACTGTACCTGTTCACAGATAAGAAAATAAAATGGCTTTTGTCCATGATTTTCAAAATCTCATATATAACTAAATGGCAGAATTTAGACTCAAATTCAGGTCCTGTTTTTACCTTGCCAGTGTTCTCTGTCAAGCCTGATGAAAAAGATAGATTCAATCATATCCAAATAGCCACATGACTTGGCCAAATTAGGTGGCTCTTTTCTGGGATTTACTTTCCCCAAATGTAAAATAAGGGGAAGGAAGAACCCGATCACTGTTAAGTCTGAAACTGTGAAGAATCTGAGATTTTATCCTGCTTACAAGCTAATAAGGTAGGCTGCCAGTCTTATGGGTACACACACACCCACACACACACCCACCCCCCCAATCTCTAAATCAGAGAACAGACGATTATTACTCACAGCAAAAAGAACAGCCAGACTAGCACCTTAAGTTCGCCCCTGGTGCCCCAATTGACCAGAGAGTGACGTGATGAAGGCCAACGTTCACCTGTGTATGCAGCACGGTCTGTAGCACAAGTGAAGAACCCTGAAATTATGAGACTCAAGCTTATATAGTTCAGCCGGCATATCTAGCCCTCCTCCCTCCAGAGAGACTGAAAGCTTTGCTCTGGAATATAAATAAGTCCTCTTTGGGCTGGGGACTTTTACCATCATCGAATGTATGCAAAGGCTCTGAGGGAGAGGGGAAGGGCAGCTCTATTTTTATTATAGCTGGCCTGTTTCCTTTGCTCAGAATGCCTGAACAATGCAGGAACACCGAGAAATCCAGAGATAATTATCTCCTGACAGGTATCTCTGAGGTTTCTTTCAGCTCTGAGATTCTGTGACGAAATCCCTTAAATATTCTCACACTGGGCTCATGTCCCCCTCTAGCTCTGCATGGCACAGTAACTGCCCCTTGAGGTGAGGCCACCTTCCGCCGCTGGCCCCAGACTTTCCCCAACACATACGGGCAATCCCCTCTCCCACGTCCTGGGTCATGTATTTAATTCCGTCCAACTGGACAATTCCATTGTGTCACGGACGTTTTCTCTTATGTCTTCCACTCCCAAACCTCCGTGGAAGACCCTGGAGACTGAAAGCCATGCTTCCTACCCCTCCCCCACAGCAGGCCTCACCCAGGGCTACGCACAGAGGAGGCACACAGTGACTCTTCATGAATGCTGCCCTATCTCTTGCTCTTTCTACCCCAAACTTCCCCCAAAGAACAGCCAACACCTGCCACTTCTCCATCACCTCCAGTAGGAGAGACTGTGACACCTCTCTGCTCATAAGCCCTGCCATATAGGCCGTGGCCAAGTCCTGACAATTTCTCATTCGTAAACTGCCTCTGCTTCCAACACCCTGGCCCAGGCCCTCATCATCTCAGGCTTGCACACCTCCACGTCCCTCAAGGCTTCCCAAATACCGAACTGATTACAGCAGGATCACATGGGGGTTTCCTAAAAGCAGTTTCCAGACTCTTTCTAAGTCCTACTGAATATTCAGGGGCGGAACCAAGGATGTCGACATTTATCAAGTCTCTCAGGTGATTGCAAGGCAGCGGCAGTTTCAGGAACCACTGGAGCATGTCGTTTCGGTTTTAATTCATGAGAAAACCCTGCCAGATTTAACTTCACAGAACACTGCTGTTACGGGAAGGAGGTGGCCATCGTTATATTCTCAAGGTTTCAAACTCACAGATCACACAACTGCTCAGAAACCTGATTTGGCCTTAAAATGCCCACAAGATGAAAGCCAAACACCTTCACCAGCATTCAAGTCCATCCATAAACTGGCTGTACTTTACTGCCTTCTCTTGCACTTTACAAAAATTCTCTGCTCCACCCAAATTCTTATTTGAACCTGCTTTAAATGAGCTTTCTGCACCAACTGAGCATTTCCCCATGTCATTATCATCTCTTGCTGCTCACCTCCCTTAGGAAGCCCTCCCTGACTTCCCCACTGCTGCTACATATCAGTAATATTCATGGTCTACCTCATATTGGTGTTTATCTGTTATGAAGTTATCTGGTCCAAACAGAAAAGAGACTGTCGCCAAAAAGCTGTGTGAATTGAGAGAAGTCATTTCTCCCCTCTAAACCAAGATCCCTCCTCTTCAAAATCAGAGAGTTGGGGGCCAGCCTGGTGGCACAGTGGTTAACTTCATACTCCATGGGTTCAGATCCCAGGGATGGATCTACACACTGCTCCTCAAGCCATACTGTGGCAGCATCCTGCATACAAAATAGAGGAAGACTGGACTGGGACAGATGTTAGCTTAGGGCCAATATTCCTCACTAAATAAATAAATAAATAAATAAAAATAGGAGGTTTGGACTAGATGGATTAGGAAACCCCAGTTAGTTCAGGTATGTCTGGAGCTCATCTGGTCTAATCATCCTCACATTTTCACCATCCACCCACACCTCACACACACACACACACATATTATACAGACAAGGACCTCATGGAAGTCAGAGGGAAACTATATGCTGGAGCAAGAAAGGACCAAGGTCTTACTTTGTAACTGAAGCTGATGGCATCATCATAGCCAACCCACTCCTTCCCCTTGTAGGCATATGGGATATACTGATAATCAATCCAGCGCTTCTTCACTTTCTGGACAAAGTAGCAAATCTGCCAAGAGGACCACCAGGTTATTTCTGTAAAGTGTCATGGAGAGAAGCACCAGCAGACACGCTGTTCTCTGCCCAGGGTTAAACAATCCCAGAATTCCTCACCAGGGAGTGAGAAGAAGGTAGACCAAAGAGGGAGTAGGGAAGCTACTCAAAAAGGACCTCCTCTCTATTCCAGATAAATTCCTGCTATTACATGTTCCTTCCTCTAATGTCCATGATGGAAAGAGAGAGAACCAAGGAGTGGGTGGCATCCTTAAGAAATCGAACTAGGTTTTGGTAAAATGATGCCAATACTGAACTACTAACAGTAGCATATCTGACCCTTGACCAAATCTGTATCTTTCTCAAAGAGTTTTCATAAATACGTCTCTCCTCCGTTCATTAAAAATAAGCAGAAATTGCCCCATCTAGGCAGTTATCAAAGTAGTTTTTGAATTTCTAATAAATTTAAAGGTCTTAAAGGCAGGGAGAACTAGGTGGTTAAAATCACTGTAGCATCTTAGTGTCTACTGGGTGCCCAGCACTGTACAAGAAACCATATGGTGCAAAGAAGTAGAAGTGTTCAAGTTGGGCTGCAGAAGTTAATGTCTAAGTCATTTGGGGGGGCGGGGGTCATTAAAGGTTCTGTCTATCAAAATCTCTTTGACCCGTAATATCCTTCAAGAACATTATTTCGGCTATGCCATCACGCGTAACCATGCTTCACTGGATTAGCAGGAAAACATCTCCAACCAGCCAGCACAGAGCAGAGACTGGACGGACACCAGCACCTCTGCTACTGCCTAGGCAAGGACACAGCTCTCCAGGTGGCGCTCTTACATACCTTGTGCCTTTGTACCTGCTGCTCTCTACCTGGGAAGTCCTTCCCATCTTGTCTTTCCGGCCCATAAGAATTCTTCCTGTGCTTCAAAGCTCGGCTCAAAATCTGCCTGCTCCATAAGACCTTTTCAGATTTTACAGCCATACATTCTGTGCCTCTTACTGTCTTTTCTTGTGTTTCACATTCTCTTGGGTACTTGTCTCTTTCCTCCACTCAGTAGCAAGCTTTGCTGAGCTGGGGATTAATGGAGTGGAACTGGAGTAGAGGAGAAAGAATGTATAGTATAGGATGTTTTGGAATTGCTTCAAAATAATCTAGTACTGGGGAGGGAGGAAGTCAGGGAGCAGAGATGAAACAAGATTGGCCATGAGTGGTTGATGACTGAAGCTGAGTGAGGGGTGGGTGGTGGGGGGGGAGAGGGAGAGGAGGTTATACCATTCTGTCACTTTTGCGAAGGTTTGAAATTATGTATATTGCAGATATTAGTTATTTTTATTTAGGCCCTATAGTAAGTCGGCATTGATTTATATAACATTTAAGCTTATTTTAAGAGGTGAAATATCTGTTCCCCTCCGCTCAGACTCTGCCCAGCTCCTCATCCCTTACACAGGACTAGGATAACTTCCCCTGAAGAAAAAGAAAATATCCCAGGTAATGGATTTCCTTTGTCCCAGGAACCACCTCTTGGTCCTGTCTCTAGCCCTCACCCTTGCCTTTGCCCCTTGTCCTTGCTTTTGCCAGGCTGCAGGTTAGGGAGCCCTAACTAATAGACAGAAGCCCCTATTCCTGTCACCTCATAATAAGCCAAGAAGCCAGCTTGCTTGATGTACTTCCCTGGAAATGCGGGTTCCACAGCTTCGGCCTGCAGCCCAGTCTTTGAGGCTCTGAGGAGGCGAAAGGGACGTCCATAGGTGGGTAGCCCCATGAGGAGCTTCTCTGGGGGTGCCCCAAGCTTTCGCCAGGAATTCATGGCATATGCCTGCAGGTAGGAAAAACACAAACACCTCCTTGTTACCAAGAGCCAATGGCCTGGGCTCAGGGGCAGATGTCTGGGCTGCCTGAGATCTTTCCTTTTCTTACCAAAGATTTGGAGTCTCCAGGCAGAGAGAACAGGGGGCTGTTATGTGATCTTTTCCCAGCTTCCATGTAAGTCACAAGACAAGACACTGATGAAATCCAGGAGTCTGTAAGGGTAGGAGGAGGAGGTAGGAAGATCAGGCTAGCCAGATTTTCAAGTCAGACCATCTCAGCACTCATTAGCTCCTAGCAGTGCATTGGTCACCCAAGCTTCCCTGCCATTTCCGCCTGTGGGCCTCTCCAGGCTGTGCCACACACTTGAGATGCTGCCACCGGAACAAACTGCTGGTGAGGGGCAGCTGTGCATCAGAACCTATGCCATCCTGGGTGTCCACGGAAGTAGGCAGGAGTCAGACAAGAAAACAAATGCTTGCAGGCACGATCCAAGGGTTAACAGAGGTCTGCAGAGATTGTCACGAGTACAGCGGTACTGCCCCATGGCAATAAAAAAGCTCAGTCTTCCCACCATTCAAGTGACCATCGAAATATCTCTTCCAGAAAGCTTTCATAATGAGGACGTGTGATCGAGCATGTACCAGGTCACAGGTGTAAGCGTTTACACAGATTATCTAATTTAATTTTAATCTGGCCAATGCCCTAAGTACTGGAACTGTCTCCATTTTAAAGCTGAAGAAATTGAAACAGGCTAACTAATATGCCTAAAGCCCTCCCACTGGGTGAATGTAGGCCCCCCTCAATCCTGCCTGGCTGTGAGACAAACACTAACCAACTCTATGCCCACCGGGTCTCTCACCTCCTTAAGTGTAATCTCACAGAGAAACACGCCACCCTCTCTTTGGTTCTGTATCTACCTCAGTTTTCTCATCTATAAATACTTGATTCTTGAGGTTCAAGAACATTAGCCCAGAGCTGGCATGTCCAGAAGGAGTTATGAACTCTTCTTTGTCTGGTATTGTAACTTTTGTTGGAGTCCTGTGCTCTGGAAACCAGGCCTGACGGGGCATTCCTATTTTTGTTTTTCTGGCAGTGGTTGGTGATTCATCTGCCTCTCTGATGCCAGCACCTGCTGCACGGTGTGTGTCCACAGCTGTACTCCTGGACGCCAGAGCCCAGGCCCATGGGATTCTCTCCTGTGAGAGCGAGCAAAGGGCTATGCGGAAGACTCTACCCAAGATGACGCTGTTGTGGGGGCTGGCATTATGTCACCTCCCTCTGACCTCCTGAAGAAAGCCTAGGGTAAAATGAAGCTAGTCTGTGTCCCCACCCATGCTCCTCAGCCCACCCCCACACTCACACGTACACCAGAAGAAGCACATAGAAAGCTCAAGGACAGTGCTTGGGCAGCTCTGGGGTTCTGACCTTGAAGTGCCTCCTTCCCTCCAATGTCCTGCCCCATGCAGACAGTACTCACTCACCTTCCTAGACAGCACGCATCATAAGCTGTTTGGACGATGTCTGGGTCCCCAGAGACAGCAGCAGAGAGCAGCAGCCTTGGACGGATGGTGAGCCGTGCCTCCTTCCTGAAGGCAACCAGGAGTTCCTGGGAAATAAGAGAGGCAGACGCAGAGAACCAGACAAAACAGAGCCAGAGAAAGAAATTATCACCCAGGAAACCTTTATTTATGGAGCCCCTTGAGCCAGGTTCTGGGGACATAAAAGTGAGTCAGACACGGGCCCGGCTCACAGGCTCATGAGAAAGGCAAATGCGAGCCAGTGTGGCAAGTTATTCAGTAGACCAGTGGCAGGCAGGCTGGGGAGCACAGAATTCATACTGCCCGCCTGAGGGAGTCCAGGAAGCTGAACAGCGAAGGCATCACTTTAGGCTGGGAGGCTGGGCCAGACCTGGATGTGAACAAGAAAAAGAGCCGCCACAGGACACCTGCTCAGCTGCTCTTTCACCCAACACCTCTAGGGTGACGGCAGTAAAAGAACATTCTGTTACCACTCCCCTGCCCGTGCCCCAGCCTTATGCTTCTGCTGGGCCACGAGCCCAGATGCGATCAAAGTGGAATCATTTCTGGGTTCTGGAGCAGCCAGACTGGCCTTACTTCAATTAAGAAGAGAAAAGTCCACCAGTCGTGCATGGGGCTGCCTCTTAGTCCAGGGTACAAGAAGAAGAGGTCCAGGCCACCGAAGTCATGTGTCCTCAGGAGGGATGCAACTGAGTCAATAAACACCTCCCAGTTGGCAGATGCAGACAGCACAGTGGTGAACCTGCAGGGAGACCAGGAGCGAGGCAAGGAAGGCCTTCTGCCGGCCTCCTGGTCCAGACGCGGCTGGAGGAAAGGAAGGTGTCAAAGACCTGCCTTCCTTTCTCAAACCTTCTGAAAAGCCCCTCCCAGCACCAGGGGCTAAATATCCAGGAATGGGGAATTCAGGCAGCAGGGAGGAATGGCAAACCATGACCTGCCCTGGGCAGAAGGCAGAAAACAAGTGCACAGCCTGGGGTGAGGAAAGCGGCTGTGGCCAGCTCTGCCGCCAACGTGGTATGCCCGCTGGCTAGGCACTTTGCCTCTCCGCTGTTTCCTCGTGCGTAACTGCTCGTCCCTGCGACCGGTCCTAGCACGGACATTCTTTCCCTGACTGGATTAGGGGACAGAATACGACAAGGGTCAGCATTTCCACAAAGATCTCCCAGCTGATCTGGGCCTGGGCTGTGTAACTTGGCACGAGAGGCCCATGCTCTGAGAAGGGGTTCCCATCTCTACTCTTTCGTTCATTGGCTGTTTGATTTTTTTCTGTTTTTTCTATTGTTTTCTCTCCAATAGCAAAGACACTACTGGAAAACTTCTAACTAATTGGAATTGAACTTTAAGTAATTCTGGGCTGGTCCCGTGTGCAATGATTAGAAAATTAACCAGATTCAGGCTAATTTTCAGGCAGGCCTGTGTTCTGTTACCTGTTTGCCACCTCCCAGTTGAGTGACCTCTGAGGGACACCTGGGTGAATATGGCAAGTTCCTTCATACCTCTCACTCTTGCCTTGGTTGTGCAAGAGGTTTTTTTAATTTTAACATTTATGTGTTTATTTTAACCTATATTAGAAAATGTATATTATCCAAAAAAACATAATTTCATAGATATTATTTAAGTTTAAAAATTGAAGCAATTCAACAGAGAATATTTTAATAAAGTAGTAAAGGTAGTACTATTTTTTCTGTCTCTTTAGAGATCATTTTGAGAATATCACAATCCTAAATACACACATCCTATAAGCCAGCAATTTCACTTTTAGAAATGTGCCATGCAGATATATCTGCCCAAGTACACAAAGAAAGTATGTTCATTGTAGCTTTATTTGTAACAACAAAAAATAGAACAAAACAAAACAAAAATCCCGATTGACTAAATGACCATCATTAGGAGATAGTTAATATGTTATTGCACATCCATGCACTGGCCTCTTTCTTTTTCTTTTAAGCCAGTGGTTCCCAATTAGGCAAATTTTGTTCACCACGGGACATGTGGCAACGTCTGGAGACATTTCTAGTTGTCACAGTGGAGGAGGGTGTGCTACTGGTACCTAGTGGGTAGAAGCCAGGGACGCTGCTAAACATCCTACAACATACAAGACAGCCTCAGAACAAAGAATGAGCTGGTATTGATCATTGATAGTACCAAACACGAGAAACCTTGGTTTAAGCAGAGTTGCTTTTGTTGTTTTCATTCCATCACAAGCCTGAGATCATGCTTCTACTTATTATACCTTACAACCCTTAAAACACAAGATTTAACCATTTGATCTATTACAAAGTGAGCTCTTTAAGTGAGGATACATGATTGATTGTAGCCCCAGAACCAACAATTAAGTGGTCTTTCTTTGGAATAAATGAGCTGAGGAAAAGCACAGCCAAGGGGGTGATCACACCCAGGCTTAGAGACAGGCAACTGGCCTCATGTCAAGTCACAGAAGTGGGGACTATAGCAGCTATATTTTATATTACTAGTTTTTATCTTCCTATTTTCCTCCTGCTACTTTATATTAGGGCACTAATGATGGCTAATCATTTAGGTTTAAGGTGGGAGTATGAACAAATGGACATGGTCCTACGATGACAAATAGCTGACGGGACTTTGGGCACCCCTTTCTTGAGGACATGAAATTTCACCTGTATTAAGAACAAGAGAGGATGCTAAGGGGCAAAAAGGGTGGACTGGAACAGATCTTTTCCAACTGTCCCTCTACCTCCCCATCCTTCTCCACCCTGCTCTCTGCCCCAGAAGTTAGTCTATCTGGACTACCTCCAACAGCTGAGTTGGGTTTAGCCTGTCAGAAGAGCAGCGGGAGGGAGGACAGTGAAATCAGAGTGTTTATTCCCCTGGATCACTCCCTGTGAAGACATATCAAGGTAACTATTTCCCTCCATCAAAAGTCAGTGCTCCTCTCAAGGAAGACTGTTCATCATGACTATCTCTTCTTCCGGTTTCAATAACCTCTCTGTAACAGCTCCACTGTTGCTAGCCCTGGGTTCCTGCACTAGCCCTGTGGTTTCCCTACACCACTCCCAAACCTTTGTAATTAGTCCCTTTGTAAAGAAACCCTCCTCAAATTATCTTGAGTCTACCATCTGTTTTCCTTAGGACCCTGACTGAAAGACCATACAATCTTGGATTATGTTGCTTAATTTTCATGAGCCTGTTTTCCTATCTATAATATTAAAATGGTAATAATTACCTTTCAGATTGTTCTGATGATTAAAAGTAATGCTTTAAGTAGAGTGTTTAAAGGGTAAGTACTCAAAAATATAATGCATTATTAGCTATTTTCATTTGTTAGGTGCAAGAGAAAACTCAAGTAGAAGAGATGTAACCAAAATGAAAACTTTAATAATTCGCATTAAAAGAAATCCAGAAGAGGATGCTTCCAGCATTGCTTAATTCAGGTGCTCAATACCATCATCCAAGACCCAAGTTCTTTCTATCTTTCTTCTCTACCCTAAAGAACATGGCCACCTGATACCTGAACAAAGTCAAAGTCCTGTTAGCAAAGATGGAGGAAGGAGGGAGAATAGTCAGGAGGCAACCAACTGCACCTGCTGCACTATTATTTACATTTATGGTAATGAGGGGCTTCCTAACCTTCTGGTAGCACATTAGAGTGGATGGGGCCCAGAGAGACTCTAGGGCGCTTGGCGTGAGCATAGCCAGATCAGAACCAGAAAGAAAAACCCTCTTCAGAGAAACCAATGCAGAAGGGGCTGCTAACCCTGATGACAGTGATGATCTCACAGATAGAATCCTGTAATGTTGACAGTGGCTTCTATTTCACTCCCAAACTCACAGACTCTGCAGCATTTTCCCCATTGACCAAGGCAGTAACTGTCAGGGTGCTGGGGTTGCAAACAATAGGAAACAACCCTGGCTAACTTAATCAAAACAGGAATTCAATGAAGACTGTAAGGCAACTCAGAATCAATGGGAATGTTATAGAATCAGTCTTAAAACACAGGTAGGATCCAAGAAAGACTATTTATAAAAGGCACTGCCAGAGTCCTGCCATGGGAAGGCTGGCTAGGAAATTCTACTGCTGGGACTGGGGCTGCCTCCACTGGGCTACTGTCACTCATCATTGCCAGCTACTCCTTCTTTAAATCTTGGCAGCATTTCCTCCAGATTTAAGTCCCAGATGGGCATGTCAAAATGGCCAAACCTAGTTCAGCTGCCTATACCCTAGCGGCTAAGGGCAAAGAAAGAAAACTAGGCCCCTTTATGCTTCCATAGTCTCTCCTCCAAACCACAGCAACGTAATCTATTTGAAAAGCACATCTAACATACTACTACCCCATTGGAGATCCTTACCATGGCTCCGAGCCCCACCACCCAGTTGCTGCTGCCTCATCTTGTTTTATTCCCCTCCCCATTTAATCCTAGTTGACATGACCTCCTTTTCTAGGATGCTCTAAGCTCCTTCCACAGCAGGAATGTCACACTCTTACTTTCATCTGGAATTCCTTCCCAGCCCCAGTCATCAGATAACCCATATTCGACCTTTAGGACTCAATCTAAACGTCACTTCCTCAAGGAAGATTTACTACTTCTTCATGACTGCTTACGATCCCTTGGTTTTCCAGCAATCTAGTGCTTTCAGCTAGCACTTAAAACCAACTCCATCCTGCCTCTTCCTCTAGACTCAACTGATGAAGGCAGAAACCACCATGTTTGTCTTGCTCACTACCAAACACCACAATGCCCAAAAGCTTCTGATACACCACAGCTGCTCACTGGTGAATGACTGGTGATTTCTCTGCCCGGTTCCTGACTCATCAAGAGTTCTCAATAGGAAATCGAAGCCAGTGCTTCTCAAACTTTAACATGCACGAGTCACTGGGAAAGCTTGTGAAAACATGAATTCTGATTTAGTAGGTCTCAACGTTCTGCATTTCTAGAAGTTCTAGCTGATGCCAATGCTGCTGGTTCACAGACTACACTTTGAGGAATAAGTCAACACCTTATAAAATCAAATGATAAACCAGACACATAGGACAAATATTGTATGATTCTACTCATATGAGGTTCCTAGAATAGTCAAATTCACAGAGACAGAAAGTAGAATGGTGGTCTAGAGGAAGGGGGAGTTATTGCTTAACGGGTACAAAGTTTCAGTTTGGGATGGATAGCAGGACAGTTGTACAATGACGTGAAGGTATTTAATATCACTGAATTGTACACTTAAAAATTATTAAAATGGTAAATATGTTACCATACTTGAAAAAACCACACAACCAAAAACTACAAATGAGGCCCAAGTTGGTCCTTCCATGAGGAGTCTGCCACCACGGGCCCAGGGATGGTGTTGGGCACAGAGGTCACCTCTCAGCTGCCTAGGTTAAAGATAGCATCAATGCTAACTCTGCCAAGCCAGTGAAGTTGGATAACGGTGCTAAAGGGCCCCATACATCAAGCAGTTTCTAACTTTGCTCAGGGGGTTTCTGTAAGAGACAAGTTGCTTGTTAAGGAGATGGGAGAACTGGAAGATAATTTGAGTTGTACATATGAAGTGTATTTTCTGATCTAAACAAGCTTCATTAATATCAGCTTGACATCCCAGACAAGGGTTACTACCAGAGAGGAAAACTTCAGTGATGGCACTGGCTGGGCTCCCACCAGCAAGTTAAAGGATTTGTTTGGGGTTCTTCACTTACTGTTCTTTTGAATTTTTATCTTTTACATATTGAAGCTGCAGAACATCATTAGCCAGACAAGGAGAGTTTCCAGAATAAGTTAAGGACTATATTAAACCTTACACCAGATGATAAAAGGAGATTGTAGGATTACAGATTGTGTGTTAGGTGTCTCTACAGCTTAAAACAAGAGTGAACCCCTCCTCTCCTGATCTTCACACCTCAGTCAGTCTCTCTGGATTGTACGAGTCCTGTGACAATGTAATGAAGATTTAAAGAACTCCATAATTACCCACTTTTAATGGAGAGCTCAGCAAAAAAATGTGTTCTGGGCCTAAGACTGGCCTACTTGTTTACTTTTCCAAAAACGTGCTACACAGGCTGCTGATTTTCTTAAGAAATTTTCATTAACTCAAAATTGAGACTAGAGCTTGCTTACCCTTTTTTCCAAACAGAATCAGTTTCCTGCACAAGTAATTCTAATGTGTGTTCAGTGTGACCCACAGATGGGCAGTAAGAAATTCACTACAAATGGCAATGGGATATGAATGCTCTAGCTTCTTCCATGTATGTTGGCTCTCCTTAGATGCCCTAAAGCTTCCCCAGAATACATAAAGACATTTAGTGCGTCTTACGGAAAGAAATGCTTATTAAGTATACTTTGAAATAAATCTTTTTTTTTTTATTCTTCTAGTTTGTAGATACAAAGTTGTCAAGCAAATACTGAAATACAAATATGAAAGGCACATTACTCATGCTGTCCAAATGCAAAAGAATCTGCTTTATAAAAAACAGAGCCCTAAAAAAATAATAAAGTTATAAAATAAATAAAAACCACAGCCCTTCACTTTTAGGTCTAGATGTAGCAAGAAAGTTTTGGAGCCCTCTGAAGCTGAATGATTAAAAAACAAACCACAGGGACCCACCCCTATGGCCTCCGCAATCTCCTGGCCTTTCTAACATGCTACTCAGAGGGAACACGGCTGGAAGCCCAGAGCGGTCAGAGCTTGAGTGACTTTGCTGCTGTAACGTGATCATGAATCCGCTGGCAATACCTATACAGTTGTTTATTAAAGAACCCGCCTCCTACTGTCCTGTGGAGCAGGAGAGGTACCTCGGGAATCAGCCCAATGTCTGGTGCCACCTGAAACTGTATTTTGAGCCTTCCTCGGTGTCTGTTGTGGTGCCAAGCACCACCCGAAGGGTGAGCCTCATAAACCCTGGTGGACCAAATCAGCAGTGGAATATAGTGGGCCAGGCTAATGGACTGCAGAGTAAGGGCAATGGAGACAGGGAAACGGATTTACCCCAGGGTTTAGACCTTTGAACCAGTGAAATTAAATGCAAAATAAATACGTGTATGGTTTAAAACAAAAATAAAATGAGCTCATTGTTGTCATCAGCAAGTCTGTGCTCACTCTACTGAAACTATTGTCAGGGACCTAGTCCATAACCCTCCATGTGATACTACATTTCTGATTATTGAGATCACTTTCTATTTTGAGGCATCTTTTTGCTCACTGTAACATATACTCACACAAAATTGCGATGGTCACTCCTACTGTGATTTTGATTAGGCTTGCAAATATCTCGGTGGCAATCATTAACAGATGTGAACTACTCTCAGCACAGATCTATTTGAATGCAAACTAACATTTTTTACAATATGGTTCCTCAAAACCTATTTTCTCTTTCTTTGATGTCATTTTAACCACTTTGACACATACATACATTTTTTTGGATTCTGACCTCTTCCCCTAAATTTTTTTCTCCACTGTTCTTCAGTCCATGAGGAATTTGGCTGTGCAAATTTAAGTCCTACCCACCTCATGCCATCCTTACCTTCTCTAGGTCATCACAAATTCTAAGCTTTTACCTCCAGGAAGAACTTCAGTGACTCCACCCACTCACCCTACCACCTTCCAAGAAGTTATAGTTAAAAACAGTGAAGGCTTTATTCCTACCTCACCCCAAAACCAGCGGATTATATGACTACAAATTCCCATACGCTTTTACTGGAGGGTAATTGTGAGACCAGGGCTCACATTTGGCAAGGGTGAAGCATGGAAGCTTTACTTACAAATATTTTGCCCATATTCCTTAAAACTGCCCAGTTTCATGTGACATCAGCTAAACTAAACTTGCAAAGCTTGTACATGATTATATTTAGTTCCAATACAATCAGCAATTGATCCATGGCTTCCAACTGGCAATAGCCAGTCCACCAACCTGAATAACCAAATGTTTACCTTAAGTTCCAACTAGCTACTATGGGGAGCTGGGGAAGCATGAAGAAAATAATGGGCTATAAAACTGATAGCCTGATGACTCACACAAGTGAAAGATGTCTATTTGCAGGTAACACACACATTTCAAAAGACAGGCCAACAAAGCCTAAACTTTTTATTTCACCAACGAGTATTTCTGATTCTCTGATGCTGCATTTTAAAATTTCCAGAGTCCACAAAAACACCATTCAGACTTCCTATAGCCAGAGAAAGGGGACCAGAGGCGGGGGAGGTCAGGTCTCAGGCTGTTTTCGATGGGAAAAGTGCCAGACATTCTCTGCAAGTTTGTGTCAGTTTTCTAACTTAACTGAAATGCCTTTAAGCTCCCCATCATCCCCAAACTTTTTTCAAAGGCATCTATGACAGAAAAACACTCATCTCCCATATACACAACTCCCTGGGGGGACGGGGGCAGGGGAGCGGGCATTACACAGGCCCAACTTTTTATTCGGCCAGAAAATGGATTTCTGACTCAGTTTAACAGCAAGAAGATGTGCAAAACAGTAATAAGAGTGTCCTGGCTCTTCCTCCAGGTGAGCTGGGCTGGATTTTTGTAAATGGAAGCACTGCTCATGATAAAGGTGAATTAAGCTCTATAAAAAAATAAAGTTGCTCCTATCTCTACAAGTAGTATATGAGCAGCTTCCAAGAATTCAGGGATGCCCACAACCTATACTTCATCCAGACATGGCCAATTCCTCAAGCATAGATACATGGGAAGCATAAAACCCTTTTGTGAACTTTTTCCTAGGGGAGGGGGCTTAGGAAAGACATTAGATGGATTTTTTTATTCCCCCCACCACCAAAAACTATATGTCTACACACACACTCAGACACACAGACATACCCATTTTCAACAAAGTTTTTCTTCCCTATGACTACAGGACCCCAGAACCCAGCCTCCCTCAGACAATGCCTATTCACTGCACAGATCTGGTCTATCAACATACTGTGTAAGGCTCCTGCATGTCTCATAGACTGAGAGGGCAAGGGCAAGGGCAAAGGGAGTGGATACTCCTGGGAGATTTGCTTTTTGTCTTAAATCCCATCTACTTGGCAACACTCTTAGGTCCAGGGGCTGGGAGAGGCTCTGTGGGTACAATGTGGTGGATGACCTGATGGTCCCAGCCCACTGTAGTAAGGAGTAAGTGATTGAGCGGGGACCAAGTAGCATCTCTCACAAAGTCTCTGTGCGCTCGGCTTCTAAACCTGGAAGAGAAAAAAGAAAAGTTTGGGTGTGGTAAGAGACAAGAGCAAAAAGCAGGCTTGGAGAAGAAAAAGAAGCCGAAACATCCAGGGCACATTTTTGGATGTTACACACACTTCACCATATGTATGGCCTTGTCACTAGGACAGCAGTGTAGCTATCCACAGACGACTTTACCAATCATCCGATCCAGTATCCTATCTTCATAGAAGAAACGGAGGCTAGAGCAAGGGTGGTGATATAGGCCAGGATCAGGCAGCAAATCATGGCAGAGAGGGAAGTACAATTTAGATCTTTTGTCTGGTGCCTTTCACACTATAGCAGGTTGCATTTCATGTATGCGGTTCTTTATGTGAAAAGGGTAGAACGTCCCCTTTCAGGAGACAGCTGGAATGCCAGACTTAGAAATCCCACCCACCACCACATGTCTCCTCTGTTGGAGACAGAGCTGGTTGTGCATCAGCCTCAAGAACAGGGAGATGATCAACAATCTGCCTGCTTCCATCACACAGTCCCCTTATATACAGACGAAGAATTCTCCCTCCAAAAGAGACAATGTACTTTTCTGAAGAGCAAAAGGACCCAGCCACCCACAGCTCCCCTCCCTGATTCCTGATCACAGGATTCCACTTCACACTTACAGCTCGGAAAGGCCCGAGTCCAGCACAGCAAGTGAGCAGTCTTCACTGACGGAGGCCAGGAAGGGAACACTAAGAGAGGAAGGGGAGTGTTGTGAAAAGTAAAGCCCAAGGTCCCCATACAAAATGCTGACTGGGTCAGCCCCCAACCCCACTCAGTGACCCAGAGAAGGTGGCCTGATCCCCACTTTGGGTTAAAGTCTGTCTACCACTCAAGTCCACATTACAAGTGCCAAGGAAAGATGAGGGAAATGGAGCAAAGCTGGGGTTGACAATCATCCTGGTAAGTAACCGTCCCATCCGGTCCCTCTCTGAAGCCTCAGCAATAACCCAGAAACATAGGCTTTTCCAAACACATAGTTCTAGAAGCCCACAATATTAATCATTCTGGGTGTTGAAAAGGAATGAGATCACATTTTAGCTATTTTCAGACAGAGACCATACAACCCAAAAAAGGACTACGATCTTAAGAGATCTTTGACATTCTGAAACCTCAGCTAGAGCAGCATCTGCTTTAAGGAAATACCTAATCAGCTAATGCTTTGCCAACATAAGCATCCTCCCTCGCTGTTCCCATTCATACGCACCAGGCCCTCCACGACAAAGAACAGTACCTGTGTGGGGAGAACACCAGCCCAGTGACACACTGGGAGTGCACAGCTGAGCTGAGGGCACAGTTTGCATTCTTGGTGTCCACAAGGGAGACAGTTCCATTCTCATCACCTAAGGAGAGGGAGCACGTCATCACAGTGTTTAAAAGCATGGGCTTTGGAGTCAACCAGACCTGGATTTGAATGCTAGTTCCTCAACCTTGACAAGTTAACCACTCTGAGCATCAGTTTCCTCTTCCGTAAAGAAGGAATAAGTCATTGGGTGGTTGTGAAAATTAAATTAATGGATGAGGTAGTTGTTATTTTAACCAAAAATGATGTCATCACATGCACAGCCTCATCACCATGATAGCACCACGACTATCCAGAGTAGAAAAGAATTCCCCATATAGCAATCCACTTGCTTTGTGGCCCACTTACTTCTAGCCATGCCCAGAATGTAGGCCAGAATGAACAATCAAGAATTAAATCTACTGGGGAAAAAAATCATTTTCTCCAAAACTAAACTAAAACCACTTTGGGATCCTTCTATCTCCCCACCCCTCCATTAGCATGATTCATCTAGTGCCCATGTGTGCTGATGACTGAGCAGCTGGAGCTTTGTGCATTACGGAGTTAGCTCTCTCCCTTTCTCTCTCATCCTCCCCGTTCCCAGGCAATAGTGGGTCATGCTGCCTTACCAAAGACAAAGACTTCACTCTGCTGAGGATGCCAAGCCAGTGAGGTAGGAAGGTAGCCAGAGGCACTGCAGCCTGCAAAGGAGAGAAAAGGGGTCTGGAACAAGACGCCTGAGCCCAAAAGAAGCTTCTCAAATAAAGTCACTCTCAGTCCCAGAAGCACCTTTATTTGGTTTCCCATACCCTGCGAAGGCAGTCGTCTCCTCATCCTTGACCCTCATAACAATTTATCTATCAGCCTCCTGCCCTTTTCGAACACGAGTCACAGGCAAGTTTCAAGCATAAAACATGAAGGTAGGAGCTCTGGCCCCTTTGTCCACCCATCCAGGAAATGTAAAGTAAGTTACCCACCCAGGAACCAGCCCTTCCTCTGGGTACCAGCTGCACAAAATGGGGTCAGCAGAGCTTCAGTGGGAAAGTAAGCGATTATGTCACTTATGTCACAGTGACTGGGCATCTGGGCACTTTGCTTTTAACTCTGGCCAAGGAAAGCCTCTTCCAGGTGTGTTCCCAGTACCACCCTCCCACCACGGGCTCTCAGACTCACCCATCTGTGACGCTGGCTTGGGACAGCGGGTATCCCAGAGTAAAATTCTACTGTCCTAGAAGAAGGAACAGAAAAGGGACTTCATAATCCAAAGCAGCAGCTACTGGCCAGGAGGTCTCCATACTAGACTTGGGCCCAGAGGGTTTGAGCATGGGTAGGGAGCGGGCACGGGAGAAGAAGGGGTGGGCTCTCACCTCACTGCATGAGAGAAACACGGAGTCCTTGTGGGGAGAGGCAGCAACACGGGTGACCTGCCCAGAGTGAGCTGTAAAGGAGAAAGAGAAACATGACAGAGAGGCTGGAAGCAGTACCATCAGGCAGCTGGGACACCATGAAGGGGCAATAGGGAGGGTGTGAGAAACAGGCCTTGTCTCATAATGCAATTTAACAAACTTCATGAGATTTTGGATCAGACAAAACCTAAGAAGAAAGGCTGATGGAGTTGTAAAACCTAAAAAGGCTTGGAGAAGAACGAATTAGTAAAGACAATGAAAGAGAAATCAGCAGCAGAGTAAGAAGAGTGAAGGAATGTATGGCTAAGACTCCTAGAACAGCAGTTCCCACGCTGTGGTACACACGCCTCCAGGCAGTATACAAAAATTTCCAAGGGAGTTCTGGACACTGCGAGTTTGAAGGGAATAAATTTCTCCAATGTTCTCCCCCCTAAGGCTGAACTGAGAGGCTGCCTACAGTGGGCCAGCACTCCTTTCCTACCTCTACTTTCACAATCACTCTTCTCCCACTTTTCAGAAGGAACACCCACCCCAAACCTTTCCAGGGTACAATGCTCAAGAGTATAGAAACCTGAGGTAGACAACAAAAGGGGCTTATACCGACGAGTCAAAGAGCAAAAGAAGTGCATCTGGGTAAACTTCCGTGAAGGGGCTGGCCTTGTTCCCTTATGCCACAAACACAAGAGTGGTTCAGTGACTTATCTCTGTTTCTGTCTAATAATGAGAATTTTGAAAAATATGACAGATAGTTGTCATAAGGAGACATCTAACAAGTTTACCTGAAATTAAAAATGAAGTCGGACTTCTTCTGACGGAAAGTGAAGTCTAACTTGGCCAAGTGGCTTAACAATGCAGATCATTTTTTACCAGTTGGGTTATTTGGTAGACATTTTGCATAAATTAAATAGGCTTAATCTGCAAATCCAAAATTTTGATAAAGATAAAATTGAAACAAGTATACAATAAATGATATGGCCAAGAGTTACCTTCTTTGCAACTATTTAACCTTATATTATTTTAAATATTTAAAAATGTGAGAGAGTACAGTTTCTCAAAATTCTTTCAGGTCTACAAGCAAAAAATTTTGAAGATTCCTGGTAGATGCTAATTATAGGCTGTCCAGACCACCTTCTCTAAGTCACTTAACCAGACTTCCTGAGGCAGTCTGAATGCAGCTCTGCCCTGAAACAGAGGATGGGATGGAACCACCTTCCATACTTCTTTTCTAGTCCTAGAATCCATGGAAAGCCAACATGATGAAAAGGAATTTATTGCTCACTTAAAGAATGCAAAGCTCTGGGACAAGCATACGGGGAAATACAGAAGATGAAGACTACGTGGTTCCTCTCCCCTCAAGGGATTTGGGGAGGGGGGGGTGGGCGGGAATAAGACATAAACACAAAGGACTAATGAAAAAAGCTGAACAGGAGAAGTGCTGAAAAAGAGTCAGCATTGACCAGGAAAACAGAATCATATGTCTAAGAACCGAAAGGCAAGTATAGCAGACTTCGGGCATTGGCATTTACTGTTTGACTATTTCCAGTGACCCAGAAAGTCCAGGATACATATGAGTTTGCGATTTGCTTTGGCACAAATCCGAATCACATACTTTGAAGTTAGAATTGGCAGAGAAAGGCACTTAGCCTTTGAGGAAAGCAGGTGATCACACAGCATCTCCACCTCTTAGCCACACACACTAATGCTCTAGACATTATCTTCATGAAGATACGGTATCTTTATGAAAAATGGCTCCCAAAATAAAGTTAACTGCTAGCGCTGTTATTGAAAGCGAGCAGAAAAAGGAACATTAGTAGAAACTGATGGTTCTCACCAGAAAAACAGAAATCTTATGGAGGTGTATTTCACAAGTTCAAGATTCACAAGTCTCAGGGTTTATACTTGGAGAATGCCAAGGATCTACTGTGACTGGGTTTAGCTAGCGCAGTCCCCGTGAAGGGGGAGTGATAGTAAAAGGGCTTGAATGTCATAACAATAAAAGGAGATTTTATTCTGCAAGCCACAAGAAACCAATGAAAGACCGAAGATTACAGGTAGAGAGAGGAGTGCCACCAGCTGTGTGCAGTAAAGCCTTAAAGTAAATGGGAGCATAAGAAATGGAAACAAAGATCATTGACCAAGTGGAAAAAGACTCAAAAGAACTTCGTGACCAAGTGATAGTGGGGAAGCAGGAGTGGAAGAGGACTGAGAGATTGAGCCTCCGTTGGCCAAGAAGGTGGTGAGGCCATCAATAGAAATAGGGAAATTAAGAAAGGGCAGGGGATAGACACTGGGGCCTGACTATAGTTTCGGAAGAAAACTATCAGGCAGGACAGCAGGGAACTGCTGCTGCCCCTAATATCCAAGGAAAGTTCAAAGAGTCCAAAGAGGTGAATAAAAACAAAACAGCTAAGGCCAGGACTGAAAAGGAAGGACCGTGCACTCACCCCGGTATGAATTCAGTACCATCTGCTGAGCAAGGTCCCAAACCTTGATGCTAAGAAGGAAAAGGAAAGAGATACTTAATTCTGACCTGCATTTTATCTACATAAAAACATGTGCTCAAACAAGAGCTTCCTATAACCAGCACGTCCTATGTCTTTGCCTGTTGGGTTTCTGCTATGATCTATTTACAAGGGATTGCAAAATCTCTAAGGAAACCTGATGCACATGTTAAAATTAATCACTGGATTCTTAAATTGAGCCCAAGACGTTACTTAATGAGACTAAAAGGATAGTAAAGACAACCAAGAAGGCCTAGAGACAGGAGTGATGAGAACAGGAACCCACCAGAAGTCTTTGCTACCACTGACAGCTTGTGTGCCAGAGCTCAGGACACTGACTGTAGATACAACGTCATCATGCTCATACTTGCAGAACTTGCTCACAATGAGTGTCTCATTCTCATCCAGCTCCCACAATTCAACAGCACCTGATGCGGGTAGAGTAGAGGGTGAGGGAAACAAGCTTGGATTATACCAAGACAGTAATTCACTTCTAGGATTCAAGTAGTACACTGTCATTAAACTAAAAAAGCGAGTTATTCCTATAAAAGCAAAGCAAAGTCCACATCATCAGAGAGTTTAGCTAACTTCCAAGCATTTGGATTTAAGCTAGCATTAGTTTTCCTAATAACAGTCCAGACACCTAGGTGGGGAAAGTTTCTTAAAAAAAGAGAGGGAAAGATGGAATAGCTGGTAAAATCCATTATTCTGCTTCCAGTGAGAAAACATTGGAAAATAAGTTCCCAGGAGAAACGGATGAAGTCTCCAGGATTCTCTGTGTAGCACACAGCCCAGGGAGGTTAAATCTTCCAATTATTTGCAAACTAATAAATATTTATTGAACAATTTGAATAAACATCTTACAGAGTCTCAAAAAATACACTGAATAATTGAGTGTCTTGCAGAGTGACTGGCTAAGTAGAGAACCCCCCCCCACCACCCCCCCCCGCCCCCGCGTCGCCGCAAAAGTTATCTTGAACATACAGCGTTCAAGCTCAACCCCCAGAGAAGCTAGGTTTTTAATGTGTCACTTTCATCTTTCCACAAAATGCCTGCCAACACCCAAATTGATTTTTCTTTAAATGCCAAAGTCTCCATTGCTGAGCCTGACATTCAAAATAAAGAAAGCAGAATGAGAACGAAGTAAAAGAAGAAAATGGGGGGGCCGGCCCCATGGCCAAGTGGTTAAGTTCGCAAGCTCTGCTTCGGCCACCCAGGGTTTCCGGGGTTCAGATCCTGGGCGCCGACATGGCACCGCTCATCAAGCCATGCTGAGACGGCGTCCCACATGCCAAAACTAGAAGGACCCACAACTATATACCGGGGTGCTTTGGGAGAAAAAGGAAAAAAATAAAATCTTTAAAAAAAAAAAGAAGAAGAAAATGGGAAGAAATGGAAAGAGACAGGTAGCACACATTGACTTAAGCATCATCATTAAGATCAAGATTATCCTTGGGCTGCGTTGGGGGATAAAGAAAAATGGTTCCAATCTATTTCTTAATTTCGTTACGGGTTTCTCCAGAAATGACGACCAGGCAATTTAGAACCTTGGGAAAGGTATTTCCCACTTACATAGGAGTTCTCGTTCGGGGCCAACACCCTCGAGCTCCCCCAATCACTGAGTATGAGACATTAAAGATGGAGCCCAAACCGACCTGTACCCCTAGCCTCCATTCTACCTGTGGGCTGGGGAGAAGTGACTCACCTGAATCAGAAGCCACTAGGATACCTCTGTCCCCCACCCAAGTGAGGTCAGCCACTCCGGCCTCCGTCTGGACTCCGGCGGAGCAGAAGCCTTCGTTGGGGGCGGCACAAGGGTCCTTGAAAAGCCAGAGGGAGCCTGCCCAGCAGCGGCCACTCAGGCTGGAGGCCCCGAGCAGGAGCGCCCCATCTACGGGAAGTACAAGCTGTCAGCGCGTGAGGGGTGGAAGGGCTCGTCTCCATGGTGACCGCACCGAGCAGCACGCCGGCCGGGTCTGGATCTGAGCTCAGGAAAGCAGGGCAGGGCTGGGGGCTGAGCTCAGCAACGAGAGGTAGCGGTCAGGATGGCAAGCGGGGAGGGGGCGGGCTAGAAGTCCGCGGGAGGGGCGCCCTGGGCCGGGGTGAGAGGGATCCTAGGCCTGAGATCGCAGCTCACCCGACCGGTACCGCGCAGCCTCCAACTGCCGCTCCATACATGCGGGCGCATTAGGAGGAAGGTTCCACTCCCGGGCCGCGGGGGCACCTAGGGGAGACGAGGTTTCCTCCCGCATCTCCACAGTCCCAACTCCAACCCAGACCCAAACTGGACACCAGCGGGAGATTCAGCTCTGGATAGCAAGGCCCACGTGGTGCCCCGCTGGGCCTCAGCCCCTCTTCTCAGGCTAGCCTCTATATATCTCGCGAGAATTCCATTCCGCTTTCCGGCTGCCGCTCGCCGGCAAGAGGTTCTGCGCGCTCGGTGCCTCTTCTCGCGAGAAGAAGAAATTCGAGACGCAGTTGATGGGAAAAGAAGGCACGACGTTCTCTTCTCGCGAGACTTGGGAGTGACCATCTTTCTCCTGTCCGGACGGATTCTCTTGTCCGGGGTCACTGGGACGCTTGGACTCGCGCCTTGACCCTTGCTGACCATGCTGTCCCGGGTGGTCCTTTCTGCTGCCGCCGCAGCGGGTGAGAGACCGCTGGTCCAGGCTATCAGAGTGATTGCAAAGAAGCGCGTCTAGCGTTACTGGGAGGGAGTTGGGGAAAGGGGGTGAAGGAAGGCCTGGCGAGACTTGGGCCTTAGTGGGGAGTGGTTAGCGCCGCTCCCAAGGTGAGCGCGGGGTTTCGGGGTACAGCAAAGAGGCGCATGGCCTTAGTGATCCGGCCCCTCGGGGAGCGAGGAAGGGGCAGCCCGGATTTCACCTTGACCTTGCTGACCTGTGCCTTCTGTGTTTACAGCCCCCTGTCTGAAGAACGCGGCCCTCCTCGGTCCAGGGTGAGTGTGAGGGGTTAATACTCCCCTTCGGACTTGTTTTATCGCCTCCTTTCACTGCTCGGCCACCTCCTTTTAGCCTTAGGCCAGAAACTGCCTTTCTTCAGGTGACTTTGGGACGTTGAAGCCTCATTCCGGCACTTGTGCTTCTGTAACTGCCTGGAACATCATCGTATTACCTAATGATAAAGATTAAGAGCATAAGCGCTATGTTCTAACTAAACTAGAAATTGGTTTGGTGTCTTCTCAGCCCCAGCCCTCTCCCTTGTGACCTTCAGCTGGCCAAAGTTGCCACAGCCCGAATCCGCATTCCTAGATTGCATACCCAAGCCCAAGCTTTATTAAAGCAGGGAAGCATGTGGTTTTCAGTCTGTCTCCCAGATCCCGACTTTTACTGCAAGATCATAAGAGTCAGAGAAGTCATTCACTGATTCAGTAAATACCTATCTTGGCACCCACGTAACCAAAGATATAAAAATGACTAAGGCTAAGTACCTGGCTTCATGGAGCTTGCACACTGTCTACGAGGGGAGAAAGCTGTAGAGTAGTGGTTTAGAGTGAGGACTCAAGAGCTGGAACAGGGTACGCCTGGCTTGTCCACCTACGGGCTGTGTGACCTCAGCTTCCTCATCTGCAAAATGGAGATAATAGTGTATTATGGGTTATGAGAATTAAGAGACTTAATTCCTGTGAAATTCTAAAATCATAAATAGTACGTAATATGTGCTTAGTAACCATTAGCTGCTGTTATTGTTAATATAATTTCATAGAACATGTCAATTTTCTTTGGGATTTCTCTTTCTACTTCCAAACTTAGTCCTAAATCTTGCAAAATTTGTTAACTATCCTGTGGCTTGAAAAACTGGCTGTGGCCTCTCTGTGATTAATTTTTGTATTCAATAAAGTCAGGTTATAGTTGACTGCTTCCAATTTATCAGAGAAAAAAGATTCCATACAGACGTGTAAACAAATAATCATAATACAGGTAATAAGAGATATATATATACAAGATACAAGGAACATCCTTGATTTCTGTTTCTTTCACATTCCATGTGTCATACTGATATCAGCAAGGCTCTTCTCCGGATTCTATCTGGACTCTGACCTCTTCTTTCACTACTCCTGGAGTGTGAACCACCAGCAGCTTTCACCTGGGCTGTTTCAGTGGTCTCTTAGCTAGTCTGCTTGCATCTCTATTCTTGTCCCGTTAGGGCCCATTCTCACAGTAGCTAGAGGGATTATGTCAGCCCCCCACCTAAAACCTCCAGAGCTCCATCCCAGTTGAAATAAAATCCAAACCTACCATGACCTAGAAGGCCCAACATGGATTGATCCCATCCTACCCCTTGACTTATCTCCTTTCATTCTCTTAAGCTTATTCTCCAACCACACTGGCCTTCTTGCTGTTCCTCTGAACGCTACTAAGCTTGTGATTGCCTCAGGATTTTTGTCCTTGCTCTTCTCTCTTTTCCCCAGCTTATTGGTTCAAATGTCATCTGGCCTCCTACCAAAAAAGCCTTTCACCTACTCCATTGCTCCCTATCCCCTTACCTTGCTCCGTTTTTCTTCATAGCACTTACAGCTGCCTGAAATTGCTTGTGGATCTCTACACTCACACTTCCTGCACTCCCACTAGAATACTAGAATGTTGAGGGCTGGGACGGTGTCTGCTCATTGCTGTGCTCCCAGTGCCTGACATAAGTAGAAAGTCAGTAAATGTTTTGTTGAGTGAATGACTGTTAGTCCAGGATTGGAGAGACCTTTATGAAGGATATGCTTGAGATGTCCTGGAGGCTAATTGGGCTTGCCAGTCACTAAGTGAAAGGCATACCAGGCAGAAGGGGCACTATGAAGCATGCTTTTGTTTTGTTTGTGTTTGAGAGCTGTAAGTAGTGCCATATGGCTGAAGGGTAGGAGAATGAAGGAAGATGAGGTTATAAAATTTGATAGGTGCTGAATCATATATGCTATACTAAGTAGTTTGTTTTCTATAGGTAGGAGAAAGCCTGTTGGAGAGTTTTAAAGTCAAATTTGCATTTTAGAAACATTGGCAGAAGTGTGGAGGGAGCTAATATTAAGGGGTATTTGATGAGAAGTGGAAAGAGTAGGTTTGGGGTTGTTAACTAGATTAGACAAGAGGTGATGAGGGTTGAACTAAGCCAGTTGGGAAGAGGATTTGTGTCAGACTAAAGCAAGTCCTCTCTTGCTGTGATTTAAGTCAGTGGTTCTCAACCTGGGGCAGTTTTCCCCTCTGGGGGACACTTGGCAGTGTCTAGAGACATTTTTGGTTGTCACCACTCAGTGAGAGGGGAATGCTACTGGCGTCTAGTGTGTAAAGGCCACAGAGATACTGCTCACTCTACAGTGCACAAAAGAGCCTTCCACGACAAAGAATTGTGAATAGTGCTGAGACTGAGAAACCCTGATTTAAATGAAAGAATCTCAAGCGTGATTCTCAGATTTCAGAAGTTGACAGGGTAGGTAATATATTGGGAGGCAGAAATAATATTCAAAAGACAAGCAATGAAGCCCATCAGTGAAATAAACTCTTACATTGCAAGGGGATAGAGGTAGAGAGTTGGAGGAGTGAAGGATGAACACATACTGAGAATTTGAAAGAGACTGAGCTTGACAGCAGAATGAAAAGACCAGAGGATTTTATTTCATCAGAAGCTTAATGAGACACCAGTATGCTATAACTGCTAAAAATGCAGTCCTAGGCTACTTTAGTACAAGAATAGTTTGGAAGTCCATGATAATAGTACAGTAGTTCAAGCCCAATAATGGCGATGGTAAGTTCTCATATATTTGTAGAACAAATGAATTGGTCAAGCTGTATTTAGAGCCACGGTCAGTTCTATATAACCTCATTTTTGTAAACAAAACCAGAGAGCTCCTTGGTGTAGACAATCACTATTGTGAAGGAACTGAGATGTTTAACCCAGATACATAAGCTTGATCTTACATAGAAAAATAAAATTAGAACTAATGGATGGAGGTTTCATGGATGTACATAGCAGTTCAGTTCAAAGATAAACGTAATTAGAGCTACCCAACACTGAAAAGGCCTGTTTCACATAGTGATTAGTTAGCATCGCATCACAGAGAACATTCAGAAAGATTAAAGTTCTTGCCCTGAAGGAGCTCACAACACAGTGCACGTGTAGTAGCTAACCACTTACATGTTTGACCGTATACCAAGCACCATGCTAAGCACTTTATGTATATTAACTCATTTAATCTTCACAACAACCCTGTAAGGTAATATCCTTTATTCTCACTTTACTTAGAGAAATCGAGATCACAAAAGCTTAAGTTACTTGTCCAAAGTCAAATGGCAGGTCTGGGATTTGAACCCTGATCGCCTGTGGAGTCTACACTCTTATATACTTCAGTGCTAATAACATACATACGGTTGGTGGACAGGTGACCTGTGAGACTTAGAGAAGGGAGTCTAGTGTTGGGTAGAAGGTTACGTACGGCTTTAAGTAAGGCACTTTACCCTTGCCACGCAGCTAATTATTGGACCTTCCTGTTCCCAGTCTCTTCTCTTCCATTATGATGATTAGTGGGAAACTGCCTCCATCCTCATCCCCATTGGTTTTTTCTTCTAATTGTTGTACATTGTGTTCTCTTTAAAGAATACACTTTAAATTTGTATAATTGCTATCTGTAGGGTATTGCAGGCAACAAGGATCTTTCACACAGGACAGCCAAGTCTTGCCCCTGTACCACCTCTTCCTGAATATGGAGGAAAAGTTCGCTTGGGGCTGATCCCTGAGGAGTTCTTCCAGTTCCTTTATCCTAAAACGGGTGTGACAGGTGAGCTTTAGCCCTGTGTTTGATAGGATGTTTGCATGGTCTAGTTTGTGTTAACCTAGGATTTTGTTCCCACTTCCATATATGCCACAAAAACAAGTCAGCTGTTTTTAAAAGGAAATTGTGGAAGTGATTCAATGTAACAATTGATTTGTTTCCTTTAACTTGTCTTTGGAATAAATTTGTTTGGAATTTTAACTTAATTTTACAGTATTGTCTCCATTTGTTGATAAACCAAATTTAACAAATGCCTGCTCTGTGTGAGGCACTGTTCTAGGCATGCAGTGGAGAACTGAGGGGCCTGCCATCATGGAACATACATTCTGTTGTAGGGTAGACAGTGAAGAAATGAGTAACTGTGTAATAAACTGTCAGGTAATGGGAAGAAGTGTGGATGAGAAAGCCAGGTAAGGCAGTAGAGACTATTAAATTGTGTATATGAACATGAAAGCAGAAACTGGACCATGTTTATCAGTTTTTCCCCTTTTAAAAGGCATAAACTGTTCTGAAACCCTGCATTTTCATAATGCAGTATGCTTTCGCTTATGTTATTTAATCCTTACAGTAGTCCTGTGAAGACATTTTTACTATCCGGAAGAACTAGAAAACAAAGAATTTGCTGAGATTTATTCTTTCTTTAGTAACTGAGTTGGACTTAAGCGCAGGTTCTCCTATTGAGTTTGGTGTTTCTTCTACTACATACACTGCCTTTCTTGTTATACCCAAATACTGCTATGACTGTGGAACGTTGGAAACCAAAGATTTATTTTTTTTAACCCTGGAGTGGCCTAAAATAGCATTTCCCTAACTGAAATTGCAGGAAACATTAGTGTCTTCAGATCTCCATAGGTGATTAAAATATTACATATGATAGTCCTTTTTTGCAAATTCACATTTAACATTTATATATTAAAGAGAAGTTAAAAAACCGGTTGAAACTTCATATAGGAAACTGGATAAAATATATTTGAGACTGTAACCCGTTTGTTCTCATTGATGGTCCTGACATCCTTTGGTGCTAGTGTTGCTCAGAACACTAAAGTACTGCCCCAAAGGCCTGCTTGGTCCCTGCCTAGCATTTTGTGAGGCACAGAGGAAAATCCTAGAGAAAGGTAAATCATGGTTTATGTCCTTTCAGAGCTCATGGCCCGGTGGAAGAAAAGGATAGTCCTGTTTGAAGCGTTATAATTAGATGCTACAGGAATTGAGAATCCTGATGTTTAAGTCTTCGTTTTGCATATAAACTACTTTATAGTTGTTTTTTGCTTATTTCCCGAGTCAGGTTTCTATTCAATAAAAATAGGCAAGAATGGGTAAATTTTATCCTGACCAAGGTTCTCATTCAATCAGTAGTACATTTTGCTACACAATTTACTTTGGGAAGTAATTTGGCGTCTTTGTAGAATAATAGTTCCTGTTTGTTCAGCAGTTGTGCTAGCCACCTTATATACGTTATTTCTCGATTTCATCAACCCTGTGAGGAAGATATTGTTACCACTTTACAGATCTGGGAAACTAAGCTCAGAGTAATTTGTATTGCTCAGTAAGTTGCAGAGTCAGATTTCCTTGAGTCCAGATCCTTGTTCTTTCGACTCTGCCATACTGCTTCTCAATCCAGTGTTCTGTCTTTGAATCTGGTTATTTTAAATCATTGCTTAATGTTGCCTTCAGCTAATCAAATGCAGCAATATCTTTCTGTCTTCCCCTGGTCGCATAGCACATCCATCATAAAATAACTCTTTCTTCTTTTAGGACCCTATGTGCTCGGAACTGGGCTTATCTTGTATTTTCTATCCAAAGAAATATATGTGATTACTCCAGAGACCATCTCTGCTATATCAACAATAGGCGTTCTTGTCTATATAGTTAAAAAATATGGTGCTTCTATTGGAGAATTTGCTGATAAACTCAATGAGGTAAGAACCATAAACCTTATTTCTGATTTTAGACCTCAGTAGAAACATCAAGTGATGTTTTTGATATGAATGTTGGAAGAACATGTAGAAAGCAATCTAATAATAATCATTACAATTGTAAGTGTTAATGTTAGTTTCTAATTTGAGATAAATTTTTTTAAAATCTACCAAACTTTGTCCGGCTTTTCCATAGTTTTTTCATTAACAAGATACAGTCACGTGTTGCTTAACGATGGGGATACGTTCTGAGAAATGCATCATTAGGCAATTTTGTCATTGTGCAAATATCAGAGAGTGTGCTTACACAAACCTAGATGGTATAGCCTACCGTACACCTAGGCTCTGTGGTACCAGTCTTACGGGACCACTGTTGTACATGCGGTCCATCACTGACCAAAACGTTGTCATGCAGTGCGTGACTGTATTGGGTAGCTATTATGGGCAATTCTTTTTAAGGATTTGTGCATTTCTCTCTATGTGTATGTATGTTTCTTTCTAGGTGTTTTCACAAATGAGAAGTATAACTTTAGGAAGCATAAAATGAATTTTTTTTTACCTTTGTTACTTTCGCTGATCTTTGTTGTGAATATCATAATTGCAGCAAAAAATTGCACAACTAGAAGAGGTGAAACAGGCTTCCATCAAACAGATCCAGGATGCAATTGATCTGGAGAAGTCACAGCAGGCACTGGTTCAAAAACGCCATTACCTTTTTGATGTCCAGAGGGTAGGTTTCAGAACTTTTTAAGGAGAATGAAGTTACTCATTGTGTGCATTTAAAACAAAAATTTAGAATCTCGTATAAGGAATGGTTGAATAGATTGAGCATATTTTATTTTGAAAAGAGAAGATTTGGGCGGGGGTTGGCAATTATAGCTATTTAGACATTTAAGACCTATCAAGTGGGTAAATAATTAGAATTACTACTCTAAAATTAGAAATAGTAAAAGTTATGAAAGAACACATTTTAGATCCAAACAAAAGGAAAACAGTCATCAAGTTATAGCTGATTAAACACTGGCATGCACTGTCTAGGGCTGTAGGTGAAATACATGCTGTGTATTTCATACATGCTTACTATAAGAAAGTCTTCCATAGTGTACTTGCCAAAAGAAAACCTGATGCCTTACATTCCACATTCACAATGCAAATTCAGATATCAATAGAACTTTTTACTATGGTTAAAGCGTAATTAGATTCTAAAACATTTCGTTTCTATAATAACCCTAGGAACATATTTCAAGTATTTTGTTATTATTTACTTTGAGCCCAGTACTTTATGCCTGATATTTAAAGTGAGATGCCCTTAATATTGAAATTGTAAGTTGTAGAAGCACCTCTAAATGAAAATTGAGATGCTAAAGTAGAGTAAGTACCTGAAATATTAAGGATCTAGGCCAGTATTTCTCAGAGTGGTCTTAGTACCACATGCATCAGAGTTGTCTTTGGTGCAAGTTTTTGGACCCCTTCCAAGACCTGTGGATTCAGAACCTCTGTTAGGAGCTATCCAAGAATCTATATTTTTTAAAGCAGGATCCCTAAAGATTCTCAAGTGCATGAATGTTTGAAAACCTCAGAAAATTTTAACAGCTCTTTCCAAGCATGTTTAGGTTACAGCTGGGGAATGCTTCTTGCTTCATATATAATATGTATGTACACACAAAACTGGCTTTTGAAGATGTAACCTTTTCATAAGAATCAAATGATAATCGTTAGAATTTTTATTTATTTATGAAAAATTTGTTTACTAGACATTTGTTGAGTTCTTCTGTCTGGAGACTGGTCAGAGCAGGGTGCTGGGAATACAGCAGAGAACAGAACAAAGTTTGTGTCTTCATGCAGTCTACTTTCTAACCAGGAGTTGAGAGGACAGAAAATAATTAGTGGCTGTGAATGTCAACTGGTAATAAGTGCTATGTAGAACAATAAACTAGTGTTAAAGGAAAAGAGATTTTAGGAGGAGGGAGTTACTATTTTTATTGGGTAGTCCAGAAGGGTCTCTAATGTGATATTTGAACAGAGACCTGAAAGAAGTGATGGTGCAAGCTGTGTGGATTTCTGAAGAAATAGTACACTCGGCAGAAGAAAGCAATTGCAAAGACCTTAAACCTGGAAGCTTACTTCTACAGTCAAGGAAAAGTAAGAAGATCACTAGTGGAAGAGGGGGAGGGGAGGAATAAAAGGAAGCAAGATGGAGGATGGCCAGGGACTAGACCATGTAAAGACTTCTAGGCTTCTGTAAGGACTTTGACTTGTTCCCTGAATGAGAGTCACTGAGGCTTCTAAGCAAAGGAGTTATATGATCTCACTTATGTTTTCAGGGGTCACTCTGATTGCCTTGTTTCACATAGCCTTAGGTGTTGTATGCATTGGTTTGAAATGAGTTGTTAGGTAGACCATTGGATATAAGGGTCTGGAATTGATGGAGAGAATTCCAGGCTAGAGATTTGGGGGTCATGAGCGTACAACTGGCACTTAAAGCCATAAGACTGGAACACAAGGTAAACAGATGAAAACAAGGGCTGTTTTAATTTATGGTCACCCTATTTATGGTCAAGTAATAAAGGGCCTAAGAATTTGCCATAGGATTTAGCAACGTGAAGGTTTCTAGAGACCTTGGGCTACTTTAGTGAAGCTATCGGAGTAGGTTGAAGAAAAAAAGGAAGGAAAGAAATTGGAGTTAGAGTATAGACAACTGTCAGAATTGTCAAGGAGTCTTAGTGTAAGGATGGGCAAAGAAATTAGTAGCTAGGAGGGGAAGATGTGGGAATTGAGAGATCTTTTTTAAAAGATAGAAAGTATAATTACTTGTTAGCATCTGATAGAAGTTAATAGAGAAAAGTTGAAAAAAAATTTTCCCCCAAGAAAGTGGGGGGAAATTTGCTGGAGTGATGTCCTTGAATAGGCCAGAGGCCCTGGAATACAGTGCACAGGTGGAGGGATTGGCTTCAAGAGGACAGACAGTTCAGTCATAGTTACAGACAGGAAGGCAAAGTATTCGAGTATAGATGCAGGTAGATTGATTTATGTGGTGGTAGAAGTCTATGGGAGTTGTCTTATTGCTTCCATTTTCTCAGTGAAGTAGGAAGCAAGGTCATTTGCTGAGAGGGAAGGTAGTCGAGATGTTGGAGATTTAAGGAGAAAGAAGAGCAGAGAGTGAATGGTCTAAAGAAATGTACTTAGAAGTATTAAGGGCCTACTTGAGATTAATATCTCAAGCTGTTATATTTAACAGGTACGTGTAAGGATTCTCATTACAAACTAGAAGTTGACAATATCCCTGCCACCATTGTTTATCAATATTATTTTGGAGGTGGTATCTGATATTATCAAATAAGAAAGAAATAAGAGGTATAAAAATTAGAAGACAAAAGGCAAAGTTATCCTTATTTGTAGATTACCTGATTATATACATAAAAAACCCAGGAGAATCAAAATAACTCTTAAAACAATAAGCAAATTCAGTAAGGTGTCTGGGTACAAAATTAATAGCTAATAAACAAAATCACTAGTCTTCTATATAGGAATAGCAGTCAGTTAGAAATATGCTGGGAGAAGATAGACCATTTAGGAAAAGATGCCTAGGAGTAAACTTCACTACAAATGTATAATTGTACTTTGAAAAATGTAAAGTACTTTTGAGGTATAAGTTTCTAAAAACGTATTCTTTGATTGGAAGACTCACTATTATAAATGTATCAATTCTCCCCACTTTAATCTCTAAATTTAACACATTCGTAGAAAGAAAATGCTAATAGGCTGGAGGTAGATAATGTTGGGACTTGGACACATTGATTATTAATAGAAAAAAATAAAAAGAGTATCCAGGAGTATTCTGAAAAAGAGAAGTAATGAGGAACAGTCCTACCAAATACTGAAACTTACTGTAAAATTAAAGGAACGTTGAATAGTGTGGTACAAGTATATGAATAGGAAGCCAGATTGGTACAAGATGAGAGGGTCTAGAGAAAGACCTAAATACAAAAGGGAATCTAGTTAGTGGCATTTTCATCTTAGCGGCAGAAAGACAAATGGGTACTTTTGCAGATAGAAAGTTGGTTTCCTACCTTTTGCCTTATACTAAAATTTCAAATGAAGATCTTTAAGAAATGAAATCATAAAAGTAGAAAAAGAGAACATTGAAAAAAATATAATACTCTTGGAGTTGAGAAGGCCTTTCTACTAAACACAACAAAATCCTGAAACCGTAAGTGGAAAAGTTGTTAAATTGATCTTATAAAAATTTTAAAATTTTATGTGTAAAAATTACCATAAACAAAGCTATATGACAAGTTGGGAAGAATTCATGCATTCTACGTGACACAAAAGGCTAGTTAGCTTAGGAGAGACCAACACCCCAGTGGAAAACTAGGCATTGAACGTGTACAATTCATAAAGAAAGAAGTAAATGTAAGAGGCTTCTAAATATGTAAATTTTCTCCTTAGATAATGACAGTTAAAATTAATGTTTCCTGCTTATCAGAAGAGCAGATAGTAAAAGCTTTTATAAACACTGTTAGTCAAGGTTTGGAGTAATAGGCATTTGTGTTGCTGGTGGGAGAATGAAGTGGTACAACTTTTCTGTGGAATTTGACAATGCTAATGACAATTTAAAGTGGATCTTTAAGAGCATGTGCTTTGTGGAACGTGCTGAGTTTGGCACACACCACTTCGGTGGCCCAGGGTTCGCAAGTTTGGATCCTGGGTGTGAACCCACACCACTTATCAAGCCATGCTGTGGGGGTGTCCCATGTACACAATAGAGGAAGATGGGCACAGATGTTACCTCAGGGCCACTATTCCTCAAGCAAAAAGAAGATTGGCAACAGGTGTTAGTTCAGGGCCAATCTTCCTCACACGCACACAAAAAAACATGAGCTTTGTAGCCTGATTCCTTGTATTCAGATCTAGGCTTCACAATCTATTAATTCCATTGCCTTGGACAAATTCCTTAACTTCTGCCTTAGTTTCCTCCCAGTAAAATGGATATAGTAATAATAACTATCCCATGGTGTGATTATAAGACTTAATGCAATTGACACGCCGTGTTTAGAACATAGTAGATACTCAATGGATTTTAGCTATTATTTGACCCAGCAAATAGTCACACATAAGTGCAAAGACGTATACAATATATGCAGCATTATTTGTGGTAGAACTTAGAAGCAACCTGATTTCTTGATAGGGATTCGTTAAGTAAATTATGGATTACAGGACTCCAGTATAGTAGAACCCAATATAACTTTTAAAATTGGGGTGGGTCTACATGTCATAATTAGTATAAGTGATGTGTGTGTGTGCGTGCATGCATAATACCTATATTTTGTTTATTAAATATTTCTGGGAGGGAATACAAGAAATTCAGGAAGATGGTGGCCTCTGGGGGTAGTAGAGGAGACTTTTTTTATTTTTTAAGGATTGGCACCTGGGCTAACAACTGTTGCCAATCTTTTTTTTTTTCCTGCTTTATTTCCCAAACCCACCCCCCCCCCCCGCCCCCGTACATAGTTGTATATCTTAGTTGCAGGTCCTTCTAGTTGTGGGATTTGGGATGCTGCCTCAGCATGGCCTAACAAGTGGTGCCATGTCCGCATCCAGGATCCAAACCCTGGGCCGCCGCAGTGGAGCGCGAGAACTTAACCACTCGGCCACGGAGCCGGCCCAAGGAGACATTTTTTACTGCACATACTTTTAAGTATATTTTTGCAATATGCTGTTAGAATTTTTTACCACATGTACTCCCTATTCATATTAAATTAAAAGAATTTTGTATAAAAAGTGGTGGAGTGTATTCTAACTGGCAGAATCCTCAGAGTGTAAGTGATCCTTCAACTATGAACCAGTTTTCTTCGTTTCTTAATTTTGCTCAGAATAACATTGCTATGGCCTTGGAGCTTACTTACCGGGAACGGCTGCATAGAGTATACAAGGAGGTAAAGAATCGTCTGGACTATCAAATCTCTGTGCAGAATATGATGCGTCGGAAGGAACAAGAGCACATGGTAAACTGGGTGGAGAAGCATGTGGTACAGAGCCTCTCTACACAGCAGGTACACGATATTTTGAAGCTTCTGGAATTGTATTGACAACTCTGACAAGCAACTGCTGATGCTCTTTTAGGATAGGAATAGCTGGCAAGGAGTGTTCAGCCTAGAGACAGTCGAGTGGCACTAGTCCATTTTTCTGGATAGTGGTAACCTAAAAGATGCTGCACAACTACCATGGTGGCTTTCCTCTTTCCTCAAATTTTGGTTACCAAAGGGCCTCTCACTTCATAGGTCAAAAACAGTGGGAAGACTGCTGAGAGCACTGATTGTGGCAGACTCGTGCTCAGGTTCCATTACTTGGGTAACGTTGGAGACTGGACAAGGCTGTTTCTGATCCCCTTCCATTTCCTAATTCCATCATTTCTGCTCCATTTCTTCTTACCAGCCGCTTAATTCATTGGTCTTGGACAGAAAAGCAGTGTTTTCTATTATTTACCTAGACTTGATTTCCTTTTTTAAATTTGTATTCTTTATTTACTTACTTATGACTTGATATCTTCTTCTCAGATATATAGTATATTTAGGCATTTGTGGTCATTTTCTGCGTAACCATGGAGGTCTAGGAAAACAAGATCTATCAACATTTGATGAATTGTTTTTATTTTTTTTAATAAACTTTTACGTAAAAGTAATAGACTTATTTAAGAAACTTGGAAAACAAAAGTATAGAAAAGAGACTAAAAATTATTTTCATTCTTTCTTAACATTTCCATATTACTGCTGTTTGTTAAATTGGTCTTTTTCAAGCAGCTGTTAGCTGTATAAGCTAACATCAGTGGCACATGGTTACAGGAGTATCTGGCTTCAAACTCTATACAAGTTTCACTTATAAAAGCTGTGAGCTGAGGGATTTTAGCTGATGCCCTGAATTTGCTGAAAATAAATTGTATCTCTATGTTAAATAATTAAATAATTCCTTGTGGTGTATCATGTTAAGCCAATCATCCATCTTGAGGTTCTCGAGCTCTTGTAGGAAGTAACCGTGTTTCTACCCTTCTATGATTGCAAAGGTCTAACCAGATTTCTCTTTCCTTATTACAGGAAAAGGAGACAATTGCCAAGTGCATTTCAGATCTAAAGCTGCTCGCAAAGAAGGCTCAGGCACAGCCAGTTGTGTAAATGCATCTATCCCAGTTGAGATAACTAGAAACAGTTGACTCACTAAATGGAACCTAGTCTGTGTGACAAAATATTCCTGTATTGCTGTCTACTAAGTGACAGCTTACCTTTCCTAAAAATGCAAAGTTTGAGTTTCATATAGTGAGAGAACTAAAATAATCAATTGGCCAGTGAGATGTTTCTCATCTTTCTTGCTCAGCATTTTGAGTTGTTCCATGATCACTTTTGAATAAGCAATTTGCTTTTAATTAAATTTGGTGCCTGGCTAAAGATTACCAAATTATAGTTTAAATTTATAATTAATTCTACCATCTTGCAATAAAGTGACAGTTGAAACAAGGTTTTTCAAGTTGCGTGATTTTCTGAAATATTATGTCAACATTTGTCAATTGGGTAAAAATTAAAGATATCATCGAACTGATAATCTTGTTTATAAGACTTAGTGGTAAACTTTCTGGCTAACTGGTAGGTTATGGGAAACTTAAAACTTTTTAGCATTCTTAAAATAACTAATGGAAATATTATATCATATCATTGACTTTATTATCTTTTAGAAGTATGTCTATAGAAAATATTATGAACTTAATGAGTCATAAAATCACTCTTAAGAATCCAGCAGGTAAATCAGAAAATTCTGCCCTTCCATAGGTTTGTCTGCCTTTAATTCTCCTATACTTGTGTAAGGATTTATTTATACACAAATGGACAACTTAGATAATAGGAAATATTTGAAAATATGTACCATATGGGTAATTGCTATTTTCATTGACTTCCTAGGACTTTAATTTATGTAATAATCATTTGAGTCAATATTTATTGATGGCTAATGTATTCACCTAATATAGAAATCAGATTGACATCCTTATTGTTACTTAATGAGATTTTGATAGGGTCAACAGAGGTGTTCCAAATTATTCATTTAATGAAGAATTATAAACACCTAGTTTGTGCTAAGCACCATCCTGCATTGGTCATACAGAGATAAAAGTCCCTACCTCAGAGAGTTAAAATCTACTGGAAAGGCAATAAGAATGTGTCATATAATACAGACTTTAGTACAAGGTGCTTTGAGAATGTAGTGACAAGCACCATTTTAGGTGCATCTTACCAGCCTCATCATTTAACTGTCAGTTCAGGTTCAATCAGAGAAGCAGAATTACTAGGATGTATGTTTGTATATTAAGGGATTTGGCTTTATGCTGTCCTGGGAGCTGATTAAGCAGTCTCTGTAAGGCTGTTATCTTTGTTTCTGATGCAGAAGCTTGAAGTCCATGGAGCAGGCAGTTCGGATGGGAAGATGGATGTAAACTGAGAGAATAGGAATGAGTGGTTATCATAAACACAGACTGAAACCCTTGTCAGTTTTTATTATTCTGACCCTAATGGTATGATCGTCCTACATAACCCCAGGCCCTTCATCACACACACCTGGTCCAAAGGTTAGAGAAGCTGAGGGACTATCCAGGGAAAGGTCCAGAAGTTGCAGGCCCAACTACAGCTGGTGAATTAACAGATCAGCAACAACATATATGAGGTGCAAAATAGTTGCTGCTTCACATCTGGCCTCTAAAAGGACTCAAGAATCTTTTATGGTTTATTCTAACCAGAATATCCAGGGAAGAGAATTCTGGAAGATGTAGTTCAGTTTAACCAAGTTGACACATGAATCACCACAATAACCATCCTATTAATAAATGTTAACCTGAATGAGTAATACTTAAAGCAAAAACTCTAGTCCCAAGAAATCAATGAAAGCATCAAGTGAAACAAGGAAAGAGCAGAAAGGTGACAGGTCAGAAAAGAACCGATGTCTGAACTGACATTTGAAAGAGGAAGTCAGCAAAAAGACTGTCTGGGGGATTAGAGTCCAGGAAGATGGAGCAGTGTTTGTGATTGTAGAGAATCCATTTTAGGGGAGTGTAACACATTTAAAACTCAAGAATGAAGAGTGAAATATGAATAGTAAGGAGTTATATTAGGGTCCCTAAATACTGGGCTTAGATGTTGGACTTTGTTCTGAGGACAGACAAGCCACTGAATTTTAAGGAGAAGAAGATGACGATTTTTGCTTCAGGAAAACCACTAGCAACGATAGAAGATGGTTTGGAGAGAGGCAAAGCTAGTCAGGCTGTTGGGTTATTCTACCTAAAAGACATTGAAGACCTTAACTAAAGGCCATGGCAGTGAGGATAAAAAGGAAGGAATTGATGAGAAAAACTAAAGGAAACATTAATAGGACTCGAGAGGGGAGAAGATGGAAGAAGGGAAGAATCAAGTTGAGTCACAGATTTCTTGCTTGAGTGAAGAAGGGAGGTACTCGCCACTGTGATTTGGAATACAGGTATTTCCTGTGTCTCAGGAAAGAGAACAAGGCTAAGTATAGAGCCATGAAAGAACATCAGTGTTTGAGGAATGACAGAGAAAGAGGATTCTGCAAAAGAGGGAATGGCCAGTCATTAAAGGAAAACCAGGAGAGTGCAGATTTATAAAATCAAGAATGGAGAATTTCAAGTACAAAGAGCCAGTTTTTTTCAGGGAGATAAGAGGACTGAACGTGCCCATGAGAGTTAATAGCTTGGAGGTCTTTGGTGGCCCTTCTTAGAGTAGTTTTGGTTGAATGGCAGAGACAGAAGATAGATTACAATGGTGTTAAAGGATTGAAAGGCAGCAAGGAAATACACCCAGGTAGAATAATTTCCAGAACACTATTCACCCCAGTAGATATAGCATGGTAACCAGAGGGAGCCAAAGGTTGGCTCGGGAACTTTGCTTTAAGGTGAAAGATGCTTGAGAAAATAGCTGTGAAGAAAACACCAGTAGAATGAAGAAGAGGATGAAAAGATGAGAGAGAGGGATGATAGATGTAATAAGGTTCTTAGGTGGGATCATGATATTCAGATGGTAAGTGGAAGAATTAGCCTTCAACAGAAGGGAAACTTATTCCATTAAAACTAGAAAGTTAAGGACAGACCTTGAAAGAATGAAGTTTTTCAATGGGGGAACAGGAAGCTCATTCAGCGATCATTTATAAAAAGCTCACTGTGTGTCAGGACAGCTCAAAATTAGGGTTTGTAAGACACAGTATCTGTCTACAGAGCTTACAGTCTAGCAGTCTAGACATTGAACAGTATGTGTTCCTAATGTTCAAACTGTGGGGTGATAAGGGCACATATAATAAGTGAGCTGAATCTAAGCATAGGAGATCATGAAAGTCCTTCTGAAACAAATTGCATTTCAATTGATATCCGAAGGATGGGGAGATGATAAAACAGGGAATAGCTTATGCAAAGACCCTGAGATGAGAAAGAGGATGGCACCTTAAAAAACAACTGGAACATAGAAAGTGAAGAGGAGAGTAGCAAGAGATAATGATGGAGGAGTAGATTGTCCAGATATGCAGGTTTATGGCCTTTCTGGCCTGTTAAAAGAACTTTATGTTCCTTAAAAGAATGGGAAGCCAGTAAAAAGGTTCTAAGCACAGGAAAATACAGATAATGTATTAAAACAGTGGTCAGCAAACTTTTTCTCTAAAGGGCCAAATAGTAATGGTGTAGACTTTGCAGGCCACATAGTGTCTCTGTCGCCTATTCGTTTTTATGTTTTGTTGTGTTTTCTTCTTACAACTCTGACCTCTGGAAGACAATAGAAGACAGATTGGGTGGCAAGAGCAGTTAGGAAGCTATCAGAGTAGTCTTAAGTGGGAACTGATGGTGGCTTGATAGAGAAGTTGACTTGACATCGATTTTAGAGTTTGAATTGATAAGGCTTGCTTACTAGATAGGAGGAGAGCAGAGTGTGAGATCAAGAGAAGCATGTAAATTGTCTCCTAGGTTTCTGGCTTGTGGTGGTACTGTTAATTGAAGTAGAGAATAGATGAGAAGAAGCAAGTTTCAAGGGAGAAGGTACTACATTCAGTTTTAGTATTGAATATGAGTATTGAATATGAATATTATTGAATATGAATTCAATATTGAACATTGAATATTATTGAATATGAGTGAATTAGATGGCCGTGTGGTGACATGTAGGAAATGAGCTTAAGCTCTGGTAAAAGTTAGGGTTAGAAACATAAATTAAGGCATCAGCATATAGATCATAAGTTAGGTCCAGGGGATGGATGAAATAGCCTAGGAAGTAGTATTGAGTGAGAAGAGCTGGTTGTCTCAGATTAGGTGGAGATCAAGCAAGCAAAGGAGACTGATGAAGAAGGATCAGAGAGGTGGGAGGAAGACAAGGAGTGTGGTGCCTCAGCAAAGGAGGAAAGTCTGAGTTGGAAACTCTTGCTAAGAGGTCAGGTAAGAGCCAAGACACAGCCATTTGACTCAACAACGGAAAGGTCATTGCTGCTCTTAGTGGGAGCATTTTGTTCAGAAGTGTGGCTATAAAGAGGAGAAACATAAAGATGACATCAAGGTGGACATGTGAAGTAAAGGGGAAGAGTTTGGGGGACTTTTGTTTGTTTTTGTCTTCGTTTTGAATGGCAGTGTCTTGAACATGTTTAAATGCTTTGGAAAAGAAAACTGGAAAGGGAGAAGTTGATATGACAGAGTAAGAGGATCATTGATAGTGTAAGATTCCTGAGAAGGCAGGAGATGATAAGATCCAGAGAACGGTTAGAAGCAAAGGCCGTCTGTGGGAGGAGGGATGCTAACTTGTATGTCTACATGCCTACTTCGATATCTTAAAGACATCTCAAACTTAAGTGCAAAACAGATCTCTTCATCTCCACCTCCAGCTTGCTCTTCCCTTAGTCTTCTCCATCTCAGGTCATGGCACCACCGTTCACCCAAATTGCTCAACCCACAACGTAGGAGTCAACCTGCGTCCCTTTCGCTTTTCTGTATAATCCAACGGCCAGTCCTGTTGCTTCCACTCTCAAGACTTATCACAAAGCTGTCTACTTCCACCACTGCCTTATCCAAGTTGCCATGTTTCACTTGGACTACTATAATTATCTGTTGTCATTCTTGCACCCCTTTTAACAATTCTGTGCAGCCAAAGTGAGCTTTATAAAATCTAAGTCAAATCATATTACTTCATATTACTTGCCTGAATAAAACTTTCTAATGTCCCATCACAATTAGAATAGACTCTAATTCTTATCATAGTTTACAAGGTACTATATAATCCGGTCCTCAGCAATCTCTTTGACATCATCTACCACTCTCCTTGTTCATTCTGCCTTGGCCCCTCTTTTCTTGCTGTCCTCAAACATCTAAACTTTTCCATCTCACATCCTGTGCACAAGCTTAGAGCTTCCCCAACAGGCTGCCGTGAATGGCATGTTCACCAGGAGATATTACTCCCCCCAATCATAGGGCAGCCAGGCTGGACATGAGGC